TTTTGTGTGCTACCTTCAGTTGCTATGTCTTCATTTGCGAGCCATCTATACTTTTCTTATATAGTGCCTAAAAATCATATATACTCGATTGCATAGTAGTTACTAATAGATACATTTATACCAATAGAGAGATTTTAAGTTTTATTAGTTGTTAGTTTTAATATTTACTTACATTGGTTGTTTATGTAGTTTTCTTTGTAATATTTCTCATTATACAACTAATTACTATGGCTACGTAATTGTATAAGTGGGGGTTGGACATGATAGTTCTTAGAAGCATCAATACTTGAAGGTTATTATAATGACCAAATTCTAAAGTTATGGTTTGCCTTCAACTTGTTTGGAGCATTTCAATTATGCATCAATTGTTCTCTCCGTGTAGTTAACTCTCAGACAAATCGAAAATCTTGCTGATATGTGCTTGATTGTAGTTAAATTTAGGGTTCTACTGCATTGTTGCTTTACTATTTTTTCGTGGTTGAGTCTGCTTCAAAAAATTTAGTTTGATTTTAGAAAATTTTGCTTCTGCAGTCCTGTCTTGCCACCAACGCGTTCAATAGATGGAGACGGGAGAGGCGAAGGCTATTTTTGTGTTGTTGTTGCTGGTTTAGGGATCGGTTTGTGAAGAAGAGGGAGAAGAGAGGGGGAAAGGGAAATGCAGGAGAGGGGGATAACTCTTTTCTCCGACAAAAATGGAGTGAAGAAAGGAATTATGATCAGTAAGAATATGGTTATCTTACATAACGGTCTCTATTCTGTTTGAATTGAGCTTGAGAGGCAGTGATAAGGACGAGCTGCAACCAATTCATAGTGAGAAGAGAGCTATGAACTGTGATCGTGTCTTATTTCAAGTTAGAAGGTAGTTTCAGTATAAGGATTATTTAATTTGACAAGTTGTTTCGTCCATGATTCTTGGTAGTTTCAGTGCCATTCTAGCCAATGTTTAGTCTGTAATTTTTGAGAATTGATGTGCGAGTAATGACTTTCACTTAACTTCAACTATTATGTGTGTATTTATTGGCATGTGATAGAATTCTCTTTTCCTTTTCATTGAATTCATTTTCATACTCTAATTGTATTATTTGTACATAGGCAAATCATGCTCGAGATGGCAACTCGCTGATATGGCTGGTGCAAGGAATGAAGTCATCATTAGAATTCAGACCGACAACGGGGAGGGATGCCCAGGACTAATTCAATGATGATTGATGATGGTATAATAAAAACTGCAGTCTGCATCAGCACCAATTTCTAGGCCTAAGTAAATGTATTCAACCCAGAACTCTGCTTAGCGCTAAAAATGGCCCTCACCCAACCTTGATCCTGTTTGACCCACTTCTGAAGAGTCAAGATATATGACTAATCCTCCCCGTTCGTATTTTCTTATTGACTCTTTCTGACCCTGTAGGTTGGGGCGGGTCGGGAAGAATTGGATTAGTGGGTCGGTCCTAATCAAGTGGAATCTCAATCCCTTCACTCTCGCTTGCTTTCTCTCCCATTCCACAAGTGGGTAACATACAGTAATCCGGCCAACGGACCGGGTAATAAGCTAGTATATATTATATACCAAATTTTTGCAGCATAGTTATTAAGAAGAGTACTGCAAATTCTACAAGCTAACGTTTCCAACAAGACTACTTAATTACTACTACTTTTCGAGGATTGTGACGGTTCTTTGTACAATGACTTGTATTTGTCATCATTTAAGGGAAGTTTCGTGATTGACTTAATGGGTTAGATAAAGAAGTAATTTGATCTCTTCCAATGGTGACTTAGAGTCTTGGTCTCCTTGTGTTTAATTAATAGTAATTCTAACAATACTCGTTCGTTGTATTGGATTTGTACTACTCGTTCGGAACCAAAATATCGCGTCGAGTTTTAAGCACATTCGCTCGGTGTCAGGTTTGAGGATGAGCATCAATACACTAATTTTTCAATATTTTCCCCCTATTTCTACGACAAATGGATGAACTGATCATCTTTTTTTCACGGGAAAAAAGTGGCACCATGTCCATTTGGCTTGTTGAGCTCTTGATTGTTTTTATGCTTCATCTCGGGAGCTCAATGAGGCTCATGCACGTGCGGAAATCAAATTATTTCGACACTTTATTCGAATCCCTATTTCTGATTGATGTTTCAAATATGTAATTACAATAAAGCTCGTGACATTTATTAATCATCATTCCGAAAAAATCGATTGACACACTGATCTGATATGATCCGATCCGTTTCGATTCCGGTATATACCGATATTCTTCCCCTATAGCCTTCATGTATCAATAAAGCAAACCCTAATAGACGATTTAGGGGAGATGAGAATGAAGTTACGTGGTCAACAACCCTAATCCTCTTTTTGGGCACATTCGAGAATCCACTGCTTTTCCCACCACAACAACAATCCCCCTTTCTTGACTTGCCCTCCAATGGGAGTCCCACTCCCAACACAACGGTCTTTTTCTATTCTCATTATATTTCACTATACAATAACAATAACAATAACAATACACATATTCTTTCAATATCCCTAAAAAAAACAAAAGGTGGGGATGATTATTGATGATTTCTGGGGTGTTGTCCCAAATCCAATATCTTGAAGGAAAAGGTTGCATGAACCCCACCAAAGATTTTCTTACAGGATAACGCATGACACACAGCTGGATATCGAGCCAAAGGAAAAGTAGTAGCCTGATAGAGAGGACCAGTTTCACAAGTTTGGAACTTTCATGGAGTTTGGTTTGGCCACGTTTGCCCTAGTACTGTAGAGATAGAGAGAGAGAGAGAGAGAGTAGAGAGAGAAGAGCCAATGAATGTTAATTAAGGCAAAAACGTGAATGGCTATGTACATATCTTGGGGGCAAACATCAATATCGTTCCAAATCTTGAAATCTTCATATCCCTTTTTTGTTATTGTATCATGGCTTCCTATCGTTATCTCTTTCATAAGGTTCATGTTTGATTCTAGGACATGATGATGAGATGAGAGTCATCGACAACAATGGAAGAGTTTGGGATGGATATCATCATATGATTTTGATTGATAATGGGATTTTTGTTTGTGAAATCAGGGAACATATAAAGTATCATCGCAGTGCTGATTTATATAGTTATGATGTAATGTTCGGTATTGAGATCATTTAACTCGATATGATAGGGACAAGTGTGATATAAAAGTGTGCATGACAATCAGTAATGATGTATATTTATCGTTGCGTGATATTTGTGAGGATCCTATGAACGATTATAGGATTCACCATGCCTATTTAGTCCTTTGGGTGTGAAATGCTTCTTGCATTTAAGACGCATAACCTCCTAATACATGCGTAACGCAGTGAAAGCTCTCCAAATAATGGAGATTGCATGTGGATCGATAAAAAAAAAAAAAAACCAAAGTTGATTATGGTGATTAGTCATAAATTTGCACTGACGGAAAATTCATATTATCGTAGATACTATCAATGTTTCTACTTTGAAAGATCTGTTTGCTCGTGTTACATAACAATAGTAAAATTAGTGGTAAAAAATGAATTCTCATCAGAATCGTACTATGTCATCGATACATTGACCATATTTGTATGCATTGGATCACCTACCACCATATATACATGTATCATAACCAACGTGACCCATTAAACCAATTTATACCATTATCTTAATGGAAGAAAAAATGACACCAAACCCCACTTCACCAAAGTTTCCTAGGAAAAGACTTACTGGCAAACCGAATTGCTTTCAATTTGGTCGACACATACAGATATTTTCTCCAAACTAGTAGCCATAGTTATCTCCTCCTCCTTGATATGGATTAGGTTTGAACTTTGAAGAGAGTTGTCAACTTTAGACCAATTCGTTGAAATACTTTTCCCTCCATCCCCATTGAATTTCTGGAGGTGGGTTACCTTTTGTGGCCTGTCTGTGGAGAAGCAATTGGCAGGCCAGGCAGTGTCGGCTGCTGCTGCCAAAGTTGGCACCAAACCCATGAAAATGGCTTTATTATGGTTTCCCAAAACTAGGGTTTTCCTTTCTGTACCATTTATATTCTCTCCCCCACATAACAAGCCAACAATAACGATAATTGGTTGCTGCTATATATGGCCTACTAGATGGTCAAATGTTGCTGATATAAGCCAACATTAGGCCTGTTAACAGCAACAAACCCTCTCTTGTTTGACTTCTCTTGTTGTTGTTGTTGTTGGGAGAAAGTGGGGAATGAAGGAAAAGGTGTCAAGGAACTATGTGGATAATGTGAGATTCCATTTTTAAATTTAGGCTATAATATTCGAGTTATTTCAATGAATTGGATTGTGGTCGGAACATCAAGTTTTTAAGATTGGATAAAGGGTATGCATGAGATTTAGATAACTTCCATATATGTGTTGATAGTTTACCGCAACTTTCGATATAGAATTGGGTAAAAACATGAAAGAAAAAGAAATAAAAGGGTTGTTAAACTCATTTTTTTCTACAGGCCAAATCGAATAAATAATCAATGCATAAATTCGATGAAAGAAACCAATCACAAGTGTGAAGCATGCGGTGATGCATCACTACGTAGCCTAACAATGCAATCAAATGTTTCTTTCTATTATAGCACATTTCGTTGATTCTCAAGAAAACCACCTATGCATTTTGGGGTTCGATCAAGGTTGTTCAAACGAATTAAATCATTTCTTTCTCTCTAAAGGGAGTGTTCATTCCTCGTGATATTGTCGATTGGTGCATTAACATGATGATTTTCTTTATGTGATGTTATGCTATATCAGTGAACTGGATTAACCAGTCAACCAAATCGATTAAACTTGGATTTTTGCGAACCATGTATGAATATAATATATCTTGTTCGGACTGAGTATCCGTCTTTGGGTTGGACCAATATTGCAACCAAACCGACCTATGCCAAATTTCAAACTTCATCCGCCTACTTTAACCAAAAGAGGGTTCAACGACGATTCCATTGTTATCCAATCGAAGCTAGATTGCGTATCCAATGAAAGTTCTGTACCGGCAAAAATAAATTAATAAAGTTCGAATCTTAATAACCGTGTCCTATCCAACCTGTCAACCTAACAAAAAACTTGTCACGAGACTAATTATTATCCACAAACTAAAACCAAACCCTATAACCAATCAGGACAGCCAGCCAGCCAAAGCCAGCAAACATTTGCCGGCCAAGTTGTATGCAAACCGTGTTACACCTTTTTTGCAGCAGTCACGGCCTTTCCCTTTCACTTGATGTTGCTGCTGCAGACTTGCAGGCACGTCCTCAAGTTCATGTTCGGTTGGTTACTCCGATTCGTTCGGGAAAACTGTCGTCGAGATTGTTTGGAGGGGGGTCTTGTGGATGATGACTGGGCAAAGTCGAGAACACGCGACAAGTCTAGTTGGCAGGCTGACTCACCTCACTAACGACAGAGTTCTTCGACGAACTTAGACGATACAACCATTTGATTACATATCAAGTAGCTTATTAGTTAGCATTTTGTTGCAAAGACCATAATCTGGTGACCACTTAGGCTTTTAAACCCTACAAAATCTTCTATCCAGGTTTCATCATGATTCTCAAAACAGCAAGTTGCCGACCTCTTTTACCTTCCCTTTTTTTCTGTTGTTTTTTCCTTTCTGGCATTGGACAGCTAGACATTAAAGTTCACTTCTGGGACCATTCAGAAACTCACCACAAGCAAGGTATCAGAAAAGCAAAACATGATCGTGACCAGCTCTGATAAAAATGTTGATTGCCAGTAATGAATGGTACAATGCTAGTACAAAACTGTAGGGGAAAGATTATACAGTTTCCATGTGTTGTGTAATGAAGAGACAGAATTTCGGAGGCAGATCGAACAAGTTACCTAGATAACTTCAGGTGATGTTGGTCCCAAAATTCGAAGCTATCGTATAAAAATATGGACGATGGCAGACAGGTATCCAGCCAACTGAAGGGAGAAACAACTCAGTCAAGTTAGCAACAAGGCTTAAAAAGACTCTAATCCAGATTGTGCAAGGATTAACCATAAGATTAATATGGTATATATAGAGACCTCATCACTGACCTGTTCTATTATGGTCTTCCCAGAGTAACCTTCAATGACCAAACCTGCTGTGAGACCTATCATTGCCCATGCTCCATTGATCGCCTCGATCTCACGCCGTCTCTACCAAAATAAGAGAATCCCAAGCTAGATCAGTAAAGGGTAAACCAGCTGCAACAGGGCAAGCCAGTTATAATCAATTTTCAATGATCACCTTGAGTCTCTCTTTCCTTCGAATTTCTACCATCTGCTTCGCAGCTAATCGCTTGGCTTCGGCTGGATCGACCATGATCACCTCTCTTTTCGAACTTCCTGATGCCTGCATATAGTCAAAATTTTGTACAGAAGTTGACAATGTAGTTTGTGAAGTTCATTGCAAGACTTAAGCTCCAAGAGCCAGAGTACACGCCTATGGAGCATTCGACAGAAAATGTTTGCTGAACTGGGGAATGGAGAGCAGCTGATCTACTTTCCTATATACATTCAGTTCAACCTGTTCATGGAGGAAGTACCACCAACATACCTAGTAATGGCGATTCAGAGCCAAATCTGTAATTCTAACGGCTGGTTACGTGACTAACATTCCCTAATCCACAAACGTCTGTTTGATTGCATAGATTAGAGGAGAAGGGTTTTCTAATTACATTGCACCATTTGACATGAACCATTGAAACTGCTATTATGTTTCGAAATCTCTTAGGATCTGAGTCGAACTTATATGGAGGATCCATACATTGGAAGTTGCAGAGATTCGAAAAGCTCGACTTTTTGTTCTACCAACTCCAGAGTTGCTATCAGACTCAACTCCAAACCCCCACCTGAAAAATGATGGTAACCCAAATCAAAATATGGATACAAACAGCACAGGCACAACAAAGTATAAGCAATCCTCCATTCAAATTATGCAAATCCAAGTTCGAAATTCCACACATATGCTGCATCAAGCAGCTATAAACATAGCTTGGAACATGAGATCTTCCAAGTAGGGAATACCAACGAATTCAATACAGACTTCAGAAACATCATGAAAAATTGGGGATGCCAAGGCCACCTTCTGCACTTCCAAATAAACCCTACTCCAAACCATGATAAAAGTAGCCAATGCAACCAAAAGGGTAATCAAGAAACAGCATAAAGGCAGGTTCTTTCACAATCTCGCTGAGAAAAAAGTCTACAGTCGACGGAATTGACCACACAAATCCAAAATTTCCCAAAATGACAACAGATGACGTTCAAGCACAGATAGAAGCTATCTCAGCAGGTATCAGTCAAGCAATTGCAGTTTGGCTAGCTCGATTATTCTATCAATCGAACACTAAAGGCTGCGTTCGGAAGCAAAAAAGTTGCGAGCTTTCTTGAGCAAGTAGTGGACTTAACTTGAGATTATCAGCGGGGAGATGAAGACGGTAGCTGACTGGGGAAGCTGAAGAAGGGAAACAGGGCAGTTTTCCGGTGATGGGCGACGGTGAAAATGAGGCCACCATCTATCTACTCCGGCGGGGGCGGTTTCTTTCGCGCTTCCGTGGCAGTTTCTCTGCAACTTTCAGTTATATCCACAAAATTGGTAAAAAGAAGAGGCTATGGGAGAAGAGGGGGGAAGTTGACTTGCCAAAAATGGGGCCTGAAGGGCTAGGCCGATTGTTGATGTTGGATTGCACCTTGGCTATGAACTTTCTTTAACCCAAACTCGTCCATTTGCCCAAAAAATAGGACTATGGATCATGGCCCATTTATGAAAGTACCCAAATCAATATACAGTTATACACCAAACCATCTAGTTTGTGTCTTGGTTAGTTGTCTCATATTTAACGTCATAAGATTACATAACTGATCTCCGATTCTCGATATAAAAGTAACATTGTGTATACTATTTGTTGTTCTGTGTTATCACTTGCAATAACTTATTTATTAGCAGTGAGCATCGTAGTAGTATCAACAACGAACAATGCATGTCCGTTATTTCTTGTCATAAGGCACATATTTAATCCTCGACCATTAGGGTCACATCGTGTCTACTTATTTACTGTTTTGTGTGATCATTTGTAAGAACTCATTTACTTGCCAAGTCTTAAGCATCTTAGTGTCAACAAAAAGCAATACATGTTTGCTATTTTTTGTCGCAAAATAACTTATGAGTTTGTTGGATACTCGATTTTATGCGAAGGTGACTCGATTTTCACATGCTCTTCATTCATTGTCACATTTTTAGTGCTCTTTTAGTTGTATCAGAATTAGATTTAGCGAATGGAACTCTTAGTTCAAAAGGTAAAAAAACAAATTTATGATATTGTAAACAATGAAGCTGTAACTCAGATTTACATCTTCAAAACACTTTGAACTTGTATTAACCACACAAACAATGAAATAACTAGCATTAGACCATATTTACACTTGGCACTTTAGTATAATCCAAATCCTCCACCAACTCAACAACCTCTTCACCATGCCTCTTCATGCCCTCATAGAACATAACACAGTAAGCCATCCACCACAGAATCTTGAGCAAACAAAACAAATTTACCACAACCAATCCAAGGAAGATCTGGCCAGAGGTCGGCCACCCGAGACCGGCCAAACCGACCGGAGAAGCCATTTGCCCAACCCCGGGCAACCGGAACCCAACCCAAACCAAGCACTTCAACAAACCCCAACCCACCAATCCAAACAACAGATTCACAACAAACCCATGTAGCTCCATCCCTTTGCCAATCCTGGCCGCCTTCCCTATAACTTCAAGCCCACAGATCTCTCGCTCCACGACCGATCCGACCATGCCCAAACTCAAATCCACTAGCAAGTAAGAATACAAAACCGAACCCAAAACCGCAAACATGTTCATTGTGATCGACAAGATTCGCAGACTAGACAAGAACACGAGGGTGAAAGGGTAAGCAATCAGGAACAGAACACACATGAATCCCAAGAGGAAAAGGGTCGTGTAAGCCCAAGTGACCAAAGGCCCTTTCCAGGCCCTTATTACCCTAAAAAACAAGCCTTTAACCGTTGTGGTGGGCTGCTTTCCTCCGAGTGCCATGGCTGAAACCAAAATTGCAGATGCTGCTACGAAGAGGGATGATAGTGAAACGATGACCGCCACGATTAGCTCGTATACGATGATGGAGGCCAAGGACTTTCCGATTCGGTCGATGTTTGTCGGGTCGATGGCCAGGCTTTGGAAGGAGTTGATCAGTAGCCTGAGGAAGCCGAGGGATACGAAGTAGATTGAGGAGTTGAAGACGAGGATGAGAATGGTTACCTGGGTAATCAAGGTTGGATTTTTGGGGATGATTTTGATGGTTTCTGTGGAAATGGTGAGCAACCCTTTAAGCCAGGAGGACTCCATTGAAATGGGTTGAGCTTAGAATTGGTGAGTGATGAGTGGGGAAAATGTGTTGAAGCTTTGCAAAATGATTTGAACCACACAGGCTTCTTATGCTTATCGTTCAATAAGAGGCTCTTCTGATATTATTTGAGTTTGATGGAGAAGAGAATGGGGCCTTCTTTGTAGCTGCAACTTGGCAGAGACTTGACATCTAGCTTTGAAAAGTCTCAAATGGTGATCTTTGCTAATTTGTCTAATGTTTGAATGACAAAAGTTCACTCGAGATTGGAATTTGTATAGCTTAAGGAAGGTCAGATGAGTCGTCCTTCACTTCTAAGTTGTGGTAATTTTAAAACCATGGAGTTTTATTTGGAGCAAACACATCCCAAGTATTGAATTATAAATCTTTATTAGTTATTATTATGGGTATCGTTATTAATCACTATGAGATGATATTGTTATTAGAATGATTTAGTTGATAATTAACATGTGAGACGAGAAAGGTGATCAAATGTAAAGATCGAAATGTCTATTCATTTACACATGATATAATATGGTAGATCTTATCTAGTATTGTATATAAGTTTTTCAGTGACGTTCAAATTTGTTTATCAATATGAAATTCTTCCACTTAATCAACGCATATTCACAAGCCTCGTGCATGATGGTGGGTGTTTTGTCACATGACAAAATTTTGTTAGTACAATTGACATAAACTTGAGAGTTGATGTGCTAATTAGTTACTAGTCATGATCATAACCAATTTTCCATTGTTGACAAATCAAACAAATGAAACTTCCTTCAATTCCCTATCTAATTTCATCACCAAAGACCTTGACTCAATAACTAATTGCTTTAAGTTGATAGTAATAAATGCTCTTAGTAGGGTTTCTCTCATTACTTCCCATCCACTCAATTTTTCAACCGCTAAATATCTTTGATGAAACAATAAAAATATTCAAAAAGTTAAACCTGTTTTTCAAGTTAAACATCTTAACTAAACAAAGAATTTTATCTAATTCAAGAACTACAAACGAGCTAGAAACATCATAAATTGATTAGTATTGTTACATCTCATACTTAAAATATCTGCTCCATAAACGCTTAAATCTGCATTATCTAAAATCTTCCATCAATAACAAAATCGAACATCATTAAGTAGTAGTTACCTCTACATTATTCAATACTCTTCAAACTACCAAAATATCCCATTTCAATCATCCAATGTACTTCGTAACAAGAACTTCACCAAAACTTGAGCACACCATATCTAAATTAGCGATTCAAGCTTTATATTACAACAACAAACAAACAAATAAACAACAACAAACAAATCAAATGAAAATCCAACAAATCCCTAAACAAAAACAAAAAAACCCCTTGTATTTTTCCTATCTTCTAACCCAAAAAAAAAAAAAAATGTCAAGCCTCCAAAATCTCCATTTCATGATCCCTAATCCCATGCCGCTTTCTAGCCTCCCGGTAAAAAACGGTGCTAACGACGAACCCCCAAACCACCACCGCCGCATAAACCCCGACCACCACCGCCCTCTCCCACCACCTTTCCACCCACGTCGCCGTCATCACGTCCTCAACCGCCGCCTCCTCCATCCTCCACCCAATCACTCCCGTCGCCGCCGCCATCCCACCCGAAAGAACCCACCCGCAAACCCGCCTCCCCTCCAGAAGATCCGACCCGACCCGAATCGCCTCCCAACCCGACCGCCGCTCCACGATCGAAACCACCAACGCCATCCCCATTACCGCCATCATATACACTTCCACCGCCAACCCAACAACCCAAATCCCCACTCGAATCCCCGACCTCCCAATCCCCGGCGCCAGCACCGCCGCCGCCGCGGCGGGCAGCCCGGCGTACGCCCACGAGATCGCGTACACACAGATCGCCGTCGCCGCGACCCGCGCCCACGCCGGTCGCACCGCGGCGATCGTGGATCTGAAACCGACGGGGCGCTTCCTGCCCGAATCGGCGGCGGTGACGGCGGAGATCGCGGCGATTAAAGCGATCGAATTCGCAGGGACGAGGTGGAGGAGCTTGAGCTGAAGCAGAGAGAGGAAGACCTCGCGGGATTCCTTCCACACCTGGCGGGACTCGTAGTGGGTCGGGGCGACGGTGGCGAGGTACTCGAGGCGGAGGATCTTGGATCTGAGTGGGATCGATGAGACAGAAAGGGAAGATAATAGGAAACAGAGAGGGAAGGCGAAAAACAGAGTGATCGAGAGGAAGAGTGCTCTGTTTCTCAATAAAATTTCTAGGGATTCGACGATGATTCTGCAGAGGGAGGAGGCTGTTGATGATGCTGATGGCGATGATGGAGAATGGGAGCTAGGGTGGCGGTGGTGGTGGAGATCGACGGAGAGTGTGCCATCTGCGGTGGTGGAAGTGACCATCTTGGCGGAGGAATGAGGAGGAAGGGGGAGGAGGTGCAATTGGGCGCCATTAGAGGATCCCAGTGGAGCTTCTTCAGGCATTTTGTGTTGCATTATTTTTTGATTTGATCCGATCTCGTGCTATTTTTAGTGTTTTCTTGTTTGTAGTTTTTAAGATTGTTGGATGGATCAGGTGAGAAAATTCGTTTTCGGTGGATTAATTGGTTGGGTTATTAACTTATTATGGAGTGGGAATGGGATTTAATGAAGTGGGGTTCATTTAATTCAATCTTCTGTGCTTAATAATTGATAATCAGTGTAGTTGATTGACAAATCACATCATTATGGGTAAGTAACTAACATAAGTTAAAACATGTAATTATGAAGGTAGGCAAATCCAACTCAAGAAATTACAAATATGTACTAATTTTTATACACAACGATATCTAAATTAATGGTTTGTTATTGCCACGAACAATGTGAATAATAATCTTTATTTTGGATAAACTTTACAAAGCAAACTTTACAAAACAATAGCGGTATATCTGCATGTTTTTAGATGATAAACAGAGAGAAAACCAAATCTGATTCCACGATCAAGAACCAAAATACTAGGAGATTATAGGACATGTCAATTAGTAAAGGCAAGCAAAAGAAAAAGGCGTTGGTTGATGCATGCACATTAGTGTCTACTCGGATTTGAGATAATCTTCGTAGAAGATTTCATTTCTTTGACAAGGGTGATTATTAATCCGATAATTTAAATCTAGGACATGATAAACATTATCATCACTTTATCAAATTTGACGTGACGAGGTTGAGAAGATTGAGCCGAAGAAAAGAGAGGACAACCTCGTGTGATTCCTTCCATACCTGGCGGGACTCTTAATGGTGTTGGAACAACAGTGGTTAGGTACTCGAGGAGGGGGATGAGAGTAGTGACAGGGCAGACCGAATACCCAACTCCTTTCTTCTCTATTGGGCTTGATTAGGGCTGCCTTCTCTTTCCCTCTCTTGTTAGGCTTCTACCAACATATGCGAATGAGCAACGAAAAATGGAAAAGGAGAAATGGAGTTTTACTAGAGGAGGCTAAGGTCTAACAAGAAGAGAGGGTAGAGCGAAATATTCAAGGGAAGGTAAACAAAGAAAACGAAGATAATAAGAACATGCGTGGGAGGGCAAAGAGAGAGTGATCCTGATGAAAAGTTGTTTGTTTCTCAAGAGAATCACAAGGGATTCCACAAGGATTTTGGTGTACAACTCGGAATTTTCCCTGCTTCCTGCCTTGTGTAAAAGCAATTGCCTCATTACAGGGCTAAAATAATATACTCTGAGAGTACTCCAGGTGGAAACTATATTCACTGCATGGAAAGAAAGCGGGATTCACTTGCGTATTAACAAAACTATATTTCCTCTCTCCATTATCAGGGGAATGAAGAGTTAGTGCTAGGAAACAGTCAAACAGAGATAGTAAGGGTTTTGTTATGTCATATTACAGCATTCAAAATGGCAGAACAAACCCTAGAAAGAAACGAGTCTCTTAATCCACCTAGAACTCCTCCTTCACATTCATCGCATCCACGTAACGTTGGGCCAATGAGGCACTATCCATCTCCTTCCTTTGAGCTCGATGTAGTGCGCGATGTTGCTGCGGAATTACATGGCCCCAGTCATATCCGATCAGGCTGACGGTAGGAGCCATCTGCTCTCTCCAGATGTTTGAGCCGTTCTCCCTGTCCAAATCCCACGAGTGAATGTCTGGATTAAGGATCGGAGTGAAGCAACGAACATCATCGTTACTGATCTTCATGCTGAAGAACTGGATGCGGCAGGGTGTTTCGTCACTGTGCTTCTGGAGGTCCTGTAGTACGCGAAAAACTCTTGACCTCACTGTATCAATTGGACTGGCTTCCATCCAGTGCCTCGCAAAAAATGCATATGACTGTTGTTGCCAAGTGACTTGCATCTCATTGCGGAAGCCTGGCCCAGTGGTCTCGCCATTGGAGTCTCCTACTGGAGTTTCATTGGACAATTTTTATATTTGATATGATCTTGTGTCGTTTTAAGTGTGTTCTTGTTCCTAGTTTTTTAGGTAATCAATTTGATAGGAGCAAGAGGAAAATTGGTTTTTGGCAGGTCAATTGTATGGGTTATTATGGAGCAATTAGGAAATGGATTAAGTGAAGTGGATTTATTTAATTCAGTTTGTTGCTTGATAAATGATAATCAGTGTGTAATTAAAAGAGATAGATTTAGTTTAAGAGCGAAGAAATTTAAATAATGTTTGATTCGTTCTGCAATAGAATCATCGAGGGGAGGGGAAAATGGAAATGAAGTATAATCTTACTTATATATTGGTGGCAATCCAAAAGATATGTAATATCTTTACCAAAAAAAAATAGTAAGAAAAATGTGGCCTAACAAAAATATAGATATCTACTCCAATTTTTATAGACAACCGCATCCAACTCAAATTAATGATTTATACATCGTGGCGAAGAACAAGAAATGCATGAACAACACTCATAATTTTGGATAAAGACTTAGAACAAGAGACGATATAAACAAAGAGAAAACCAAATCTAGCTCCACGATGAAGAACCTCAATACGAGGGGGTTAAGGGAAATGTCAATAAATAGGAGCAAGAAGAAAAAAAGACCATGGTTGTTACATGCACAACGTTGTAGTGAAGAGGAAAGAATGCATGAACAACACTCATTACTTTGGATTAAGTCTTAGAAGTATGAACTGTCTGCGACATGATTTTCCAATGATAAACACGGAAAAAATCAAATCGAGTTCCGAGATCAAGAACAACGATGCGAGGGGATTATTGGACATGCGAATTAGTAGGAGCGTGCAAAAGAAAAAAGGTGACAGTTGTTGCATTCGCATAATTTACTCTACTCACAAATAGTTGTTGCAACTTGGATGCACATAATTTAATCTACTCACAAACTTGTACACAATAGGATTTCATTTCTTCAATAAGGACAATAGCTAATCCCGTATTTGGTTGGTATATCATTATTTTGGAGTAATTTCAGTGTTGTTGTGCTCTTATATTTTTGGAGTCATCAAGAGTTGTATTAGCTTAAAGGTCATAATCAAAGAGTCAAGACCGCATCTCCCCTAATACAACATTTCAACCAAAGAGCCCAATCTACTCTTCCTTCTTAGATTGATGAAAGCAACCAGATTTCAGCCACTAGTCACTAATCGTTATCACTGCGTACTAGGTTCAAGTCCCAAACCCAACTGCATCGATTTACCACCATGGCCTCTTCCAACCATATCCATTCAGAACGAAGAAACAGAGACACTACTACGTGCCCAATCCTGAATCGTGGCAATCCGGATTCAAACACAGTTGAAAGTCTGCTGCTTTACCGTTTGTTGAGGCTCAGTAACACACAATCAAAGCATAAACTTACCCAGAAAAGTCTGGCCAAAACAACAAACATTGTCACAAGTATATGATCCACTTGTCTTTCCAAAGTGTTTAAAGGCACAACCTTTCGATACCTATCTCCAGTCTAACTCTATTGCTTCTTGTGGTGAACTCCATGGCTATCAAAAGCTTCATCAACCACATTCCTCTATTGCACCAACTGAGAAAATTAGGCATCAACAAACAGACTAACCTATGATCTATCTACATCGATTCACACTCCTCCTTCATGGAAGGGTAGCAAGGAAACCAGTAATATCAGACTCCTCGAACCATTTCCAGGCAAGAGCAAGAAATACATCGAGAACCAGTTCATACCAATAACTCGAATTTTCACGAAGAATCTCCATACCCTTCCTGCAGAGCACTCTCAGCTGGATATGGCGCCTCCTGAAATCTGAATCATAAACCAAGATGACCATGTCCTGCAAATCTGAAACCTTAATCATAGCCTGCAATCCATGCTACAAGAAATTCAAGAATCCCACCAATCTCTAAACATAATCCGAACAGTGACCTCGAGTAGAAGCAGAAAATTATCATCCCATTACCATAAGATCAAAAGGCCACCATAGTTACAATATACAGGGGAACTCCAGGAACTTGAAGGGGGAAAAAACAAAACTTTAACCAAAATTGTTGACCCTTACGAGGGGAAAACACGTTTCTTTCTACCATACACTGAATTCATTCCTCCAATCGAAACCCCAACCGCCATTCCTTCCTTCCTCCTCCTCCACCGAATTCCCCAGCTGAACCCTAGCCCGGCAAATCGGGCAAGCCGGCACCTTTACCAGCCATGGATCCACGCACCGCCGATGGAACACGTGCCCACACACGGGAAGCTTCCTGCACCATTCCCCCTGCTTGATTGAATCCAAACACACCACGCATTCATCCACCTCGCCGCCTTTCTGCATCCTCCTCGAGAACCTGAATTGGGGAAGCCTCTGCTTCAGGTCGCGAAACGAGATCCCGTTGCCAGTGGCGGCTGAGGAGGGATTGTTGTTGTTGTTGTTGGCCGGATTGGAATGGCGGTGGAGGGCGGCGGTGGCGAGGAGGAGGAGGATTGCCGCGACGCCGAGGAAGAGGAAGAAGAGGGTCGTGATGAAGATCATTATCAAGGCCTTGAGGAGTAAAGAGAGGAGCTTTGGGTTCGGCTTCGGCGGTGGTGGGTGTACGGTGGTGCCTGCCCCGGCCGCCGGCGGCGGCGGCGGCGGCAGGTGATCTGGATTGGAAGGCATGATTTCTCGTAAATTAGGGATCTTTGCGAATTGGGTTTGTTGGAAACTAAGGGGAAATAGGAAGAGGGCAGAGATAAAAATTTCCAGTGGCTCGCAAATCAAAAAGAGAACAGAAAGCAACAATGGTTTGAGTTTTCGCCCGGTTTATTCATTATTGACGCCTGCGCGATAGAAAGAGATTGAGTTGCATCAGGCAGGGGCGGTGAGTTTATTAGTTTTATATCCCAATTATTATAATTTAATTATTTCATAAAGAAATGCCGCTAATTAATCTCGCCCTTTTAAATCGTAGTAAAAAAATATTGTAACAAGAAAATCGAAAGCTCGGTCTAAATCGTAATTACAATAGTTAGTGATGACAATGAGGTGAGGCGTGTTTAGTGTTATGCCACCCTGCATTAAGTGCGGAACAGGTGGGGAAATACTCGTTCGGAGCGGGACGGGTCTAACAATTCTTATATGTTATTTGAAAAAAATAACATCGATATTTAACTCTTGTACAATAACATAAATAAAAACAATTCGTAAATGAATGAGAAATGTTGCACAATAAATAATTGAGTCTAAATAGTTGAAAGTTAGAGTTTTAAAATTTCTTTGAGATGAAAATATGATTATAGAAAGACTAAAAGAGGATAAATACATATAGATATTGATGTAGCTAATGGTAGAATGGGTCGAGAATGTGGGTGAACGAGCGTGAGACAGATCAGAAGTGGTAAAACCCGCCAGAAACAGGTTAGGGTCAATCGGGTCGCGCAAGTCAAATCAGAAATTGTCATCACTATCAATATTCAATAGTTTATGAAGGAAGAGTCAAAATAGTATGAATATATTCAAAAGAATATTAATTTGTGTATATAATTGAGATATAACAACGGATCAAGAATAGTGCAAGAATAGAGGTTAATAATTATGTCTTGCCACGACACACTACTCCTCGAACATGTAATACGTATGCAAGTAGAATGCGTCAAAAATCAAAATAGGTTCGATCATGCACTTACGGATCAAATCGAAATTCTCGTATGTACAATTTTCATGGCCAATTGATATGAGTATGTATGGGACCTAGATTAGTAAATCTTATTAATGGTGTAGTATTGATAAAGTATTAACAACTTGAAGTTATATATTAGTAGCTAGGTCCTTAGATATGAAAGAATAATGAAACTTTCTTTAGCATATTCTATCACACGTCTGTCTATAGTCTCTAATGGATACCAAAGTATGAGCATCTCTCTCTCACTCGTAAACTATCAAATTCATCTTTAGATATATTTTCATTTTAAACCTAATATTCCATTTATCGAAGACAGTTTAGCAATTTCACCTTGTTACAGCAAATGAACAGGTGCTATCTAAAAACTAGGCATTATCTAGGCTAGTACTTGTAGTTTAATTACTTGCCAATCATGCAAAAATGACAATTATCCTAATGAAAAAAAAAGAAGCTTTCTATACAATATTCATTAATGGCTAGAATATATCTTACCATTTACCATTTACTCATCTCCACTATATAATATGAAGTGGAGGAAAGCCAAAAATTCACAATTACACACAAATTTCATATAATACATTCTTCTTCCAACCAGTTGAAAAACCCATTACTCTAAAACCATGGAGAATACCCTTTTCATGGTGTTCATGGTAGCCATGGCTGCCACTCTTGCTTCACTATCCACAGCTGACAATGGCATCGCCACTTACTACGAAAAATACACTCGTAATTAAGTTGTTATAACCAAATTGACATGTTTAGATTTGTGTTTAGTTCGATTGATTAATGGCTAATAACTAACTTAATATATGGTCAACATATGCAGCCTCTGCATGCTATGGTGGCCAAGATAAGGGAGTGTGGATCGCTGCGGCGAGCAATCAACTATGGAACGGTGGAGCCGTGTGCGGGAAGAGATTTCGAGTCAAATGCGTGGAGCCCTCGCGAAACGGCGTCCAACATCCTTGCACTGGCAAAGATGTGGTGGTCACTATTACGGATCGTTGTGGCGATGGATGTCCTTCGACACTCGATCTGTCGAAGGAGGCTTTTGCCACCATTGCGAACCCAGTTGCTGGGATCATCAACATTGAGTATTACCCGTAAGGATTTCTCTCTTTTTTTCCCACCAAATTCTTTTTTCATAACTTTGAAGGGGTTTTCTTCAATTGTAATATTTGTTGTATTTCCTAATCATTTTTTTGGTTTTGGGGTGATATGCAGGGCTTAACTTGTGAAGTGCTAGTTGGGACGAGATAAGCCATTGTATGTTAGATGTAGTGAACGAACAAAGCCCTATATCAACTTATTACATCACAAAATAATGTTATATACCAAAGAGCAATAAATAGGATAAACTTTTACATCTTTATCTTCCATGCACGGTTCTTCCAGCATAACCAATCAATTGGTACGATACTATTTCCGTATTTCACAAACGATTACAATAGCTTCAAGCAATATATGTTTCATGCATTGATGCTCGTAGCAGGCTAGGTCCAATACAACCCGATCCTCGATTCGGTCAATGTGCTAATGCAATATGATTCTAAACCGAACTAGATCATGCAAGCTCGAGGCCCGAATTTGAAAGCTAGATCCTCCATGCTTGCTTTACGACCATGGATTGATCGACACGTTGATTTCGAATTTTATTTATGTACATGGTCTAGAGATCATAGTGAAGAAGTGAGGACAAGATTTGAGGCTCAATCATATGTTACAATGTGAGGCTGAAGAAATGCAACAAGCACACCAACATAGTGTTCAATGCACCATTTTACCTAATAAATGTAATGCAAAGGACAAATTTTAATCAATCAATCACGCTTTTGATTAGATGCATATTGAGTTTATGTGATCGATTCAATTTGATTCGAAATAAGATAAAATTCTTCTTGCTTAGCATAACAAGAACTTCGTATCAACTCATCCACCAATCCACATGAGTCGACTTAAGAGAGTGCTAGATTTACATAAATATAGACCGACTTGGCAATATGTACATTGTTGATTATCAAAACCTAGTAAAAGCACATAAACCCTAGAACATATATGTTCCTCGCTCGTCTAGAAGAGAGCAAAGAAAATTATAGGTCTAACCGTTGATGGCTGATTTGAAGTGGTCATCATCGATCGTGGAGTACAAGTCGCCTTCCACAACAAGAGCCTCAATTGCTTCCCTGTCCAAAGACCAAAAGCAAGAAGGCCGACGACATTAGGAAAGTTCGTCCAAGGTATGCATGTGAGAAAGGAGAAGAGGCATGAAATGTCAGAGCGAGAGATGCACTTGATAATATGCATTGGGAGGTTAAGCTGACGAGCAATGACATCACGATGCACTCCCTCTTCATTATTTCTGCAAAGAAGAACAGTCAAAGGGCTCTTGAGGTAGATAACTCATGGAGGATCCATTAGGGGAGAGTTTCTGATATAGTAACTCACAGATGTTGAGGCTGATGAATGACGTCTAGTATCTTTTGCCGGAGGTTATTGATCCTGTCACTACCCTGAAATGCGGCAGTAGGCTGCAATAGGAAGGAAGCTAAGTAAGCACAAGAGGATTGATTTATGATAGGCGCCAATCCAACAATTCAGTTGATAATAAACCGACCTGATTTAGAGAGGCGGACTGAAGTCCCCTTGAGAAGTTGCTGCTGCTTGGTGGAATGGAATTTGTCAATGGTGGTGGCTGAGCAGCGACTCCCTGCAGTTCACATCACCATAGTATGCATTAACACAAGCAATTCATATTGAAGATCTACAGTGATCTTATTTCAGTAACCAGAGAGCAATACCTTCATCTTGGTATTGTAGAAGTGGACGTATATGCACTCGATCAAGTGACTCACCACCTCATTGAAATCGGTAACTGGCCTGAGACCCACATCCAAATTTGAAATCAAGACTTAGAAAACAAGGCAATCTGTGTAAATATATTAAATGAAAAGAGAAGACAACTATCAACCTAATAGAGAAGACATTGATGAATCTTCTGCCCTGCAAGCCTCTCAAGTGTCCGTGTACACGGACATAAGTTCCGATTCTGTAGGTGGAAGAAATTAAAGGCGTACAAATAAAATTTTCCCACTGCTTCAACAGCAATTATTAGCCATAGAAATCTAGATACGTACGAGATTCCTTCGGCTTCTTCAGTGTCAAGAGGTTCCTGAAACCTACATAAAAGCAATTAAACAGCATCACTTTGCTGATGCATATAAAACCATTACACAATGTGAACAATTTCTAAGAAGCTTACCATTTGCAGCATTCCATCACTCCTGTGCCATCATCGACGAGAAGAGTGTAGTCGCTCACTTTGTCTTCCTTCCGACACACCCTCCCCACCAGAACAACCTACAGATATCATCAATTCATGTCACACAGAAAAGGAGCACTAACAAAGATATACAAGCAATAGAAAAACTCCAGTCTGCAGAAGAACACTCACAGTGTTCACAACAACACCATCAATGGTGAAATTGGACTCATCAGTAGTTGGTAGCTCGCTCATCTGCTTCACAGTAAGCGGCAAAAGGACCTTGGAATCTCGATTCTGTCGGGGGAAAAAACGACTTCCAGAATCACCAACAAATAATTAAGACACCCCATTCTATAATGCTCGGTCTCCAGAAGTCTCCAACTTCAAGTCACACAACCCAAATTTTACAAAACCGACTTCCACCCCTTAAGAGCATAAACCAATCTATCAAACCCATGTTGGTCAGCCAAAAAAGGGCAACAATCGCAAAACCCTAATCAGCTAAGCAGGCATGGCATTCTTAATCAAGTGAACAAAACATTTCGCCGTCAGATTAAGCAAAATCCCCAAAATGGAACCGTCCAAATCAACAAACTTGCAAGACCCTAAAAAGCTACTATCCGTCATTTTCCACCGGGGAGATGAGGGAGAATCATATTGAGAAATCGGTTATTTTGAAAGACAAGGGTAAGTGGTGGGTTGGTGAAGGAAAGTAGTTGCAGGGTACCTTGGAGGAAGAAGAGGACGCGAAGGAATCGTGAGGCTGAGTGGCCTGCGAAGGCATGAATCCGCCGCCCATGAACGCCGCCGCGCCTCCATCGAATTCGCTTCCGCCGTACATTTTCGCAGCTTCTTCTTCTTCTTCTCCACTTCTCTTTTTTTCCCCTCGCTTTCTCCTGCACTGAATAGTAAACCGCTCTCAGTTTTCCCTCTCTTCAATTTTGGCGGAGAATTCTGAATTGGGCTGCCGAGTGGGTCCATAAAAACCTAAAGCCCAACTACGATTTACAGGCCCTAAGTAAAATATAAACTCGTTACCAAAGTCAAAAGATACGATCTTGTTCGCCATTATACATGTAGTTTAATTTTTAAATACAAGAATATATATAATTTAATATAATTTTGGAGAACATAATTAATACCCAAAAATATTTGGATGCAATGATGACCACTTATCATCTACAAAATCTATAGAGAATTGACAAATGACCACTTATCGAGATTGTTTCTTTTTAGATAAGGTGGATATAAATTCGTTTTCATTATAATGTGCTATTTAAGGAATTAAAATTTGAGATTGAGATTGTGACGATTTGAGTACTACTTTTAGAGTTAAATAACAATAGGAGTAGATGTATGGTTTTCCCTGATACCAAACAAAATCGAATCAAGTACAAGGTTGAACAGAAAATAAAGAGAAAACGAAAGACAACAATGTATGGATCTAATTTGTGCACTCTTTTTCATTGATTTTAAAATCGTCCACATAAATTGATACTAAAAAATATATTACAACCGAAATAAAACCCGAAAAACTAAATACAATACTCATAAGAAGATGATATAGCAATACTAAAATCGAATTATACAGCGATCTGGTCCGATTCCAAATTCCTCCACAATCAATACCAACCCTTGTGTTCTTTGAGTGTTAGAATTTGGAAACTTGGGGGTTAATGATTAGCTTCAATTCTCCATCCCCCACCACTTCAATTTGCTCCCTCCACCACCATTTTTCCATGGAAAAATCAATCTTCCAAAGCACAAAGACTAGACTATTCAAAAGAACACCATTGAGGTCTCCAATTTTTTTCCATGGACACTTGCTCCACTCTAGCTAGCAAAAGCCATAATTAGCCTCATCTGCCCCTACTTCAACCATTACCAGTCTTCTTCTATAAATCGAGCAAATCGCTCCGTCCTCACTACCAAAACAAACCCCATAAACCCTTCAAAAAACATTCCACAATCCTCACTACTTCCTTCATCGAAAATGGATCCCAGTCACCAAGTTTCAAACCTCTTGATCACCATTGCAACAATCATCGCGAGTCTTTCCATGCTCTGTTTCACCAACGTCGCAGATGCAGCACAAGGAAAGGCCGTTTTCCACAACGCCCTCACTCGTGAGTTTCAAAACAGAGCATCCTCTGTTTTTCTTTCTTTCTTCATGATCGATTGTATTGTTTGTTGTTCATCTTCATCTTCATCCTTAATTCTCTTGTGGACAGCTTCGGCTTGCTACCAGTACCAAAACAGGGGAGACATGATCACCGGAGTGAGCGACAAGCTGTGGGACAACGGCAACGCCTGCGGGAGGAGGTACAGGGTGAGGTGCATCGGCGCGGCCAACCTAGCGCCGAGAAGCTGCCGGACAACATCCGGCGCCGTCATCGTCACCGTCGTCGATTTATGCCGGAACTGCGACGGTGACATCAACTTGTCCCGGGCTGCTTTCAACAGGATTGCCGATGTCGATGCCGGCATAGTCCGCGTCCAATACGACGCGTACGTAAATCGTGTCTCTAATCTCTATACGTAGTAAAAAGGCACTAAATACGGATATTCGGTCATCGAAAATTCTGATATCAATATCCTGAACTATTTAGTTTCATTCATTCGAGTTGTTGGTAGAGATTTTGTTATTGATCTTATACGATTTACTTATGATATGATATCCTCTATGTTTCCGAAATTTGCAGGATCTAGTGAAAGTTGGATAGCTGATGATGACTAGGGAGAGGAATTAATAAATAAGTGATGTTGGATGGATGATGGAAAAAATTCAACCAATGATGAGTTTGATGTTTTAGTCAATATAATTACCGATCGATGTATGCTACTTTGAAGAATCTATTGACATCGGAATAAGTGAACGGTGCTCGATTATAAAAGATATCATCTTTGTACTACGTGTGAATTAAGTGTGCAATATAATCAACAATCATTATCGTAAGATGTTTGTACTCGATTAGTGTAATCTGTCTTCGAAAAAAATGTCTCCATTAGAGCATACGCAATCTCTAAAATAATCTATCCAATGCGTTATCCCAATTTCGAGCATCTGAATTCCACTTATTTCAATAATTCACCCTAATTTTAAGATTCTTTCCCAAGTGACCTCCAACCTCTTTTTGTTGGGAATTTTGGGGTTAGTTTCATTCTCACTTCCATTTGCTATGGAAATTGATGTCACAAAAGGAGTCAAAGACTTGGACTAGTAAGACATTTATGAGGTACATTGAACACAAAAGACCGATTTCCACAAGGAAGAATAGCTTTTGTTATCGGACATTTATGAGGTACAAGTTCGATACTATTACAACGTTGTAGAAATGATTTTCATTTGAACACTGATTTAAGCAAAGATTGTGGAAGAGAACATTGAACACTAGAAGTTCTCACATATGCATGTGAAAGTTTTCGACCTTTCAGAGGTTTCAAAGTATTTCCCTTAATCATTTTGACCCAAAATAGGGATTTGTGGACTTCCAATGAGTTTCAAATCTTTAATAACATGAAACCAACTTGACCACCTCTGCTTGAAGCAAAGGCCATTTCTTCTCAACTGAATACACATTTTTCATACAAACTCCAATTCAAAGTACTGCACATTTCCACACTTATAAGAGGAATAAACAAAAGCTAATCAGTAGCTTCTTCCTGTGGGTTAGTTTCCTTTTGAGATGAAGAACAGAGAAGCAAATACAACAGTGGAAAAGGACAAAATGGCTCTTGTTTTGTCTTCTGTACTGTATATAATCAATTTAGTTTGTTCTTTTTGCTTATTATTATTATTATCTTCTTCCTCCCTCTGTGAAAAGGCAGTAAAAGTATTTTTAAAATTAATGAATCTTGGGTGTGGACTGACACAGATTGACCATGAGTAGTCACATCCCAAAGGGTTTGTGATGATTATAATGCAAGAACAGAGGAGAGGAAGCAACAGTAATAAATTCAAAGCCTGAGACTGAGAAAGCTTTGAAGCTGTGGAACTGGAACAGAACCTAACATCACATTTTCCAGGCTTCGTTTGGATGAGGAATTGTAACGGATCAATTTGACACAATTATCTCGTTTTGAGACAATTGTACCAAATTGCCTCGTTTGCCAGCAAAAAATTTGGATGGATCAATCTGCCTGAGGTATTTTGAATTGATCCGTTTTGAGTCAATTTCAATTACCTGGGGTGGGGGCAGGTAATTCGAATTGACTCGTTTTAATTGCCTCGTTTATAAAACGAGACAATTGATCAAATTGACTCATTTCTAAATTGATCCATCCAAACGACCCTTTTAGGCCGTAAATGAGTTGAGTCGAGTTTTTTTGTCTAATTTTAATTCACTTGTATATTTGTTACTAAAATTCTGATTTGTGTTTGAATCGAGCTCGACTTGAGTAAGACTCATTAATAAGCTGACGAGTTCTACTCAAGTTCGGCTCATCAATTAGTCCGAGAGATCGACTAGAGCTAAGGTATCAAATCATTTATTCAATAATTAGTCATATCATGTTATTTAATAGTAATTAGTACATGAGCGATCTGTGATACATAATTTCTCTTTTAAAATATAAATGAGACATATTTGATCACTTGTTCAAATTCTTAAATATCATATGTGGTGAGATATATAATCTAACAATCTATAAATTATCAACAAGCTAATGATAAAATACTAACTGATTCCTCATAAATTGCTAGTTGAGGTGGCTCACTAGCGACATTGTCAACCCAACTCATAGCTCAAAATGAGCTAGCTCACAAATTGTGCCATCACGACATTGAGTCGAGCTTGTTCATGAGCCTTGCGAGATAAACAAGGTTTAGCTCAAATTTGGCTCATCAGTAAACAAGTCGAGTGTCAAAGAAAATTTTCCGAACCGAACAATGAGATGCTCGTGAGCAGTTAGACTGGTTTGCAGCCGTGCATCTCCCTATCCCTCTCTCTGTAGACCTCTCTCTATGTAGTCCAAGACTCAAGCCAAGCCAGCAGCAACAACAAAACAAATCACAAGTAATGAAGAATCCTTAATGAGCTTATGGTAAAGAGAAGAGAGGAGACCAGTCTTCTAATGAAGAAAGGCTTGCAGGCATTGGTGGAGAGTTGGCGTGTGGTTTTGGGACAAGTTCCCTCTCCTAATATTAAACCCTAAACCCTATAGGTGACTTTCTGCAGCTTTCTCTCAACCATTTTCTCCTCCATAGAGTCTGTATATTGCAAACAGTCCAATGCATGCAAGCAACAGTTCACTCATCTCTACAGCCCTAATAAGCATAGCAACAATGCATAGCAAGCAACTCTGATGATCACAGTAATGCAGATTGGAAACCAGTTCTAATTGGACTTTAAATTTTTTACAGTAAAAGTAAAAAAAAAAAAAACATGTTGATATGACTTGAATCGGGTTCTGGGCCTGGTCTGTAACCGTTTCCTTTGCTAGATTGGATTAGGTTTAGACCCACATGGAGAAGTAGTATAAATACTTCTCATACTTCTCTGTAATCTGTAATCTCCTCGATATAGTGAAACTGGCTCTCTCTCGCCCGTGGACTGGCTAACACACATCGTGTTAGTGAACCACGTAAATCGTGTGTCTGTGTTCTTTCGATTCTCGCTCTCGTATTCTTGCTTTGTCGATTCCGGCGATTTCCGATCCGTAGCAGCGCGTTTATAACAAAACACATGGAGAGAAAGGGTAGTGATTTATTGGGAAAGAAAAAGTCTAAATAGAGAGGACAGACAGAGTATAGTACCACTTGGCCAAGCTGCAGCTTTTCTTTATGAATAAGTTCATCTTTTTCCTTTCTTTGTTCTTGGTTGGTAATTGGTAGATTAAACTTCATTAAAAAGCTGGCTTATGTTTTCTTTCAAGTAACTAGGCCCTAGCCAGATCTTTGTAAGAAAACCACTGCATCAAAAGCAAAGATATGGTTATGGCAGTGGAGATCCAACATTGGACACTGTGTTCTTGGCTCTGCTCCTCATAAGTCATTCCAATTCCTACAGATTTCAGAACCCTAGCAGCATGCAGATAATAAAGCACACAGAACTTTTTATCCATTATATTCTCAAGACTTGTCATCTTACAAAACCTAGCTAGCTAATGAGCTATATAAACTAGCTAGCTATGCCCATGGCTTATTAGCTTCAGCTTGAAGAAAAAAGGAATTCTGATGGGGTTCCTACTTAAGGAAGAAAAGAAGAGAGTATACTAATTAATCAATGCCCCCAAAGGCTCGTTTCATGGGTTGCCAACTTAGCAAGCAAGCATATTAGAAGGAATTTGTAAGTGAATCTTGTGGTAACATAATAGTCAAGTTACTTGATTCATCTTCGTCAAGTTTTCTCGTCTAAATTGTTAATACGAAATGTATTTACACAAATAAGTTAGTAATGGCATTCAGATGCTCTGATGAACTACTAAGACGGGAAAATGGAATTTGCGTGGTTTTAGGTCTCATCGACTGGAATTGGATAGTCAGGAGTATATGGTTTTGAGTTGAGTATGGCTATAGTGTGTTGTTTGTATCAACTAATGATGGGTCTATGTGGCCATTCCCAATTGCTGATATGGTGAGTTGTCTGCCATACCAACTCGAGCAATTCAAACGACGAAAAATGAAAAATGCTCCAAATAACCATTTTTATATGACCTGTCCTAAACTTAACAGACAAATTGGATAAAATGTAAAATTTAGTGACATACTTGGGTTGGAATGAGTCAAGAAATTAAATGAGTTTGGAATTTGGATAAAGTACTATGGTTTGAATGAGTCATTAATTAGTTCATGTCAACTGATGAGGTTTCGTAGGGGGCATCTTGATTACTCACTTTGGTCGAGTTGGCACACACAGTTTCAGATGAAAAATATTAACTGATATAAACGAAAAATGATCGCTTTTGTGTAGTAACCTATTCTAAGCACGAAATGTTATATATGCATATGATAAAATCAAAGTCTAGTGACCGATTTGTTAACGACCTCAAAGTTTAGTGACCTTCTGATTCACATTGTATCGACAACAATAATTACTATCACCATTTTGGCATTGTTAGAAGCATTCATCACAAGTTGCATGGAAGAGTGTTTGGTTTGGAATTTCCACCACACGAGATGTCAACACCAGACATTTATAATGTGTACTGATGATGTCCCAGAAAATGTCAAAGGGAGTCGACGTCCACTGGCCAAGTGCCATCATTAACTGTGGCTTGCAATGATGGCTGACCTTTGCTCCAAAATGCCCTTTTGCATGGAACTGTCGTTTTACATTTTAGGTAAAGCTTGGCAAAGACAAGCTCCAAGGTGATATGGCCATGGTGTGTGACAAAAGAGACAAGAGTATATCTGTATATGTCATATCCATGGAAGAAGATATCATTGATTGTTTGGTTGGTGGTGTTAAGCTGCTGCTAGCCTTTGAGTTGTCCCAAGAGAATCCAAGATACTACTATGCTTGTGAAAAAAATGTGTATGGATGGTGCTAATGGTTCAAGATGCAATGACAAATTTCATCAGTGAATCATTATATGGATCGTGATTACAAACTCGTCTAATAACTTTCAAGTTTGCAGTTGTTAACGATGAGGATCGTTTGAGTCATCGGGCACCACTTTGATACTCTAATCGGAATGGATCAAAATAAAATTTAGGGAGTCTATCTAAACCTTTTGAGCTATAATTCGTTCTTCAATCTCTCCTAACAACTGAGCTATATTGCAACATAAATGATTCCCAACATTGATATCGTAACCTTTTTCGCTAATAGACGTTTCCAAACACCAACAATCCTCATCATTAAGAGTTCATTAAGGACAACAATATGATGCATTTGTACGAATACCTCCTTAGAACTCGAGTTATGTGGACGGATAATTCTCCACAATTACCGATAGTGAAAAAAGATCGAGTCCAGGTTAAACTTTCAGGAGTTTTACAGGGTGGTGAAAACATATACAAGGAATGGTCAAAGACGATGCATAGTTTATAGTAGTATATATAGTATATACTACAGCTTTCACTTATGATCACCAATCTTTGCGTAAATGAGAGGGCAAAAGATACTGCTTGATCATCGAGAGACAGAAGAAGAGTACTTTGGGAGAGGGATGAAATGGTGGTGAGATGCTGTTATGTCACATTACACCTTTCTTATGCTATAATTTTCTCTTCCTTCTTCTCTCTTACTTCAGACTCACAGCCTTTCCCCTCTTAGCTTTTTGGGTTCCTCTCCTCTCCTTCTGTCCTCTGACTAATAATCCTAGACTTCTCATTAAGTCAGAGACTGTAGAGAGAGAGAAGGAGAAGGAAGAGAGACCAGAGAGAGAGAGAGAGAGAGAGAGAGAGAGAGAGAGAGAGAGAGAGAGAGAGAGAGAGAGAGAGAGAGAGAGAGAACCAGGTTTGAATTTTTTAAGATCACTTTGAGTACACCACATCTAGTCTTCTCTCATGAAGCCTCAAACCCTCCAATGTGGATTCAATTCTAATGTTGTTGAGATTATAATAAGAGTAATCTTCTCTATCAAGTGAATGAACAATTAGTAGGAAGATGAAATAATAGTGTTTTTATGTACATATGATTCTTTTTCTATGAGAACCAAAAACACATTTTGGGAATTGTCAGTACCTTTTCCCTGGTTTCCACATTTACTTCTTCCAAAAAACCCAAACAGCTCTTCTCTCTTAGTCTCTGCCCTTTTCCTCTATATAAACTCCATCCATCCCTTCACAACCCATCTGCTCTTTCCTTCTTATATCACTTCACTCCATTCCCCTCACCTTCCCATTTCTTTCACCTGTGTCTCGTCTCCTTATTCATCTTCATCCTCCATAACTTCCTTCCTCTCATTTGCAGTCCCATCTTCCTGGTACAGAACTCCAAAGACCTGCAAATGGCTCTTTCAACTGTTCATTCATGCACCACGTCCCATGACGCCTGTCTCCCTCTATCAAACTACAAGTACCGGAGGATGAAATGGGCTTCATAGTTTACACACGACGCTATCCTGATCGAGCTTATCTTTCTCTCTACTTTTTGTCCTTCTTAGTTTCCTTTGTTGCTTTTTCGTTTTGTTTTCTTGACCTTGCAAGACTTTGTAGATAGTCTTTTTGTTTATTTTTTGGATAGATAGATTGCATTTTTTCATATTTGCTATTCCTCTCGAGCTTAGGCCTTCATTGGCTAATTGGTTATGTAACTATCTTCATCTTTAATAAAGAAGAATTGGTATTGTTTGCCTAGTGCAATTACGGGAATCGTATATATTGTTTCTTTCCTAGTACTTCTGTTCTATTGGTATTGTACTAACCCTCGTAACTTTCTGGGAATTCCATGTAGCAGAACTGGAGAAATGGGGAGAAATCAGCCTCGCAGATCAATAAATTAGCCACACAAGTAGCAGATTAAAGTCTTAAACTTCAGACCTTCAATAAGTACATGTAATATGAGTAGTATGGATGTGTTGTGTTTCTTTCTTATGTACAAAGAGGAATCAAGCTAGAAGTACCACAAATATTCCATTGTCTGTAGCTTCTTTCTTTCACTTCTCTCTCTCTTTCTGATATTTACAATGACCCCTCAAAGTGTATCACATTCTAACAAGGAAAAAAAAAACATTAATTCAGCACCATAGACAAAAATTGGCACAAGAAATTAATTCATGAAAGATCTGTTGGGTCAGCAACCACTTCCTATGGTGACATACTGATTCAGCGTCGACATCCAGGACCTCCTTCGTTCGTGGTTAGAACCCGATCCCCTGATCCTCGACCTTGAGCACCTCACTAGCTGTTCCCTGATGCTTGGATCAACAGAGGAAGGTACCAGCGACGAATCAGTGTCCTGTGCTCCAATGCATCGGCTGGTATTGAACTTCATTGAGGGGAACTTTTGGTAGCTTAATGACCTAAATGAGGACGACTTCGTGCAGTGGAAGTCCGGCTTGTATGCTGGTGCGTTCAGCAAGCTAGGTTCTAGCTCCTCCGATGAACAAGCACAGAATGGGAGTGATAAGGTTGTTCTGTGTCCTATGGACTTTCGGGCTGCCCTTGTTCCGGGGAGTTTGGCGAAGGAGACTATCCCATGGCGGCATAATGGGCATGGAATTGAGCCCGGGGGACCTTGGGAAGCCATAGAGGTGCAGATTGTTGAGCATAGGTATAATGCACATCGAGTGCAGAACTCGTGGTTGCAGCCTGCAAAACGAGATAATTATAGGATTCTGAGCACATTGAAATGCTCTGAAGTCTGATCGATCATTGTGCATTGTCGAGCAAGGTTCAGCATTTTTATTCGGTTGGAGAACTTTGTACCTTCCGCAGCGACAGTGCACCTTGCTTCAAGGCATACAACACATGGATCCTGGCACGAAGGAATGAGATCGTTGTTCCTCCATCCACATTCCCTGATAAACAAGGGGAGATAAGGGATCTTGAACTCTCAAAACGCTAATCAAAATTGCAGTACCATAATTATATTAGCTCAAGCTTGATCCACTCACCGAGCAATTTTAACGATGCTCATCAGAGGAAGCGAGAGATATGACGAAGGACACATCTGCTGTTGATGTTGTTGCTCTGCAGGTTGGCTGCTGAGAATTTCCTCTAGCTCATTTCTATGCCATGATCGAGCAACCATCAAAGCAGTCCATCTTGAAAGCAGAGGAAAAGAGAAATCAGGTTAACTCTGACTGCCTTTCATACTACTTAGAACATACATTGATCGAGTCATAGAGATCTTTACCCATTTGCATTTTCAGCATCAAGACATGCACCCTTCGTAATCAACATCTGAATTGAAGCAAAACATGTTAGTATCTACTCCAGCATTTATCGATTTGTGATAAGCTGAGGGTGACCTATTAACACATACTTGGCAGCATTGTAAGTTTCCACCACAAGCAGCATAATGCAGAGGTGTGCTTCCAGCTCCTACACAATCAACAAGCGTTTAACTTGAGCATGAAGTAAGCTACCAATCATATATTGACCTGAACATGCAGCTAAGATTGAACTCTTATTCTACAGAATCTCAAACACCAAGAACCATAAGAGCACCTAGCTAGATGATTTGGTTATGAAGCCACCGTATCCAGACAAGTGATCAAATATAACTATCGCTTTGACAGCTTTTTCATAGTAATTACCTATCAGATCAATGGTCGTCCCATCTTCCACAGTGACTTCAGAGACCGAAGCTCCCAAATCCAGAAGCAATTGAACAGTTTCTACGTGTCCATTCAGTGCAGCCATGTGCAGAGCTGTAATTCCCCCATCAGCAGGTTTGTTGATTACCTCATGGAGAGCACTGATGTATAGTTCACCAATAGTCAGCATGATCAAAAAATCACAGGTCACAAAGAAGCAAAAGAACAGCTATACAAAAGAGCTCAAGCGAAGAGAAACTATCTCTACCCTTCATCGAATTCAGAGATCAACTCCTTCTGCGACGATTCGTTGCTGCTCCTCAACAGCTCCCAGCAATAGGGAATGCTGGGTATGTAATCGGAGAGAAGCAGGCGTATGCATCTCGTGTGACCATTCAAGCTAGCCAAATGTAGAGCCGTACCACCATTCAGATAATCAGCTCTGTGAATCTGGAGTTCGAGAACTCAATTTTACAAATGTTCATATCCAATAATCAACACAGTAACATAAAGTAAAACCGAAAGAACCGCTCACATTAGCTCGAAAGAGGATCAGAGTCAGCACAACTTCCCAATGGCCATGCTGACAAGCTTGCATCAATGCAGTCTGTTCATTCAATACCAAACGATGAAACTTACCATAACTGAAGATCTCACCAAATTCAATTGAACACTTACAAAAACTACTCATTTTGTAATAAATTTACCTGGCCACGGTAGTTTCTCAGGTTGATATCCACACCAGACTCGAGCAATAGTGAAACTATCTGTGAGAAAAAGGAAGCAAAGCTATGAACTTTTCTTTCCCTAAATTGATCAATGGTCGGAGAATGAATCTGTTTCTTCTTATCTACCTCATGGTGGCCTTGTGCTGCAGAGTAATGAAGAGGAGAATTCCTGACTCCAAAAGTAGAGTATCTGGCTAGCCTTGGATTCCAATCAAGCAAGGCTTTAGCTTCCTGAAGATCACCATCTCTAGCAGCTGAAACTAATCTTTCCCCAGATGCCGAACAGCCAAATGAATTCCCCACCAGGCTCAGAAACTTCATTGTAACACAAAAGCAACAGAAATTCCCCCTTTCTTCTTGCTGGACTTCAACATACACACACAATTCAACTGTTCAAACATCCATCCATGAAAAGACATCAGACGAACAGCAAAAGAAAACCCAGAAAGAATAAAGAAAGAAAGAACTGTTCTTTTCTCCCATATACCAAAATCAAAATCCCCCAATTCAGTGAAATCTACAGACAATTGGGGGCTTTTTCCCACCTGCAACCAGAATCTCACTGCCCTTTTTTTCTGATAGATTCTCCAAATTCCCCCACAAGTGAATTGGAGAGAAAAAGAGAGTCCAAACAAAATTACAAGCCACTCTTTCTTTTATCTCCTATTTACTCTGGAGCTCTAACTGCTCAAAATGGCCGAATGGAAGGAGGAAAGCGATGAACTAAGGAATCTTGGATTGTGACCTGACCCGATTTCATATACGTCAGTTAAAAAGGAGCAATCCCTCTCCCTCTCTCTCGTGAACTCCGAGAAATCCACCATAACAAACCACAAAACGATACTACAAATCAAGAAATGACATCCTTTTGCATAAAGAACCAAACTTTCTTTTCACCCCAGAGAATCAGACAAACAGCCGGCACCAAAAAGCCCAGAAAAAGTTTTTTTTACCTAAGAATCAAAACTTCTCCAATAATCCGCAAGGAAAGAATCGGGGAAATCTCTCCACGCCCAAAAAACTCTTAGCTTTTGCCCTCCTCCAAACGAGAAATTTTGCAGAAATCACAGCACACCCATTTGAGAATTTCAGCTCATTGTGTCATCCCCATTATCCAATTTCTCACCGTAGCCTCCAGAATTTCTTCCCCAGACTGATTATCATCAAGAACCTGTGTAATTGAGGGGAAAAGAAAAGGAACAAAACCCAGTTCAAGAATTGTCTCCTAGAGCAGGGGGGATGGAAGAAAATCCCAGGAAGAACGGAAAAAAAAGAACAGAGTAATTAAGGCCTAACAATATTTGGTTTTCTCCTTCCAAATTTACAGCCTGAAAATGGTTGGAAATTGGAAGGAGATGGGATTAAAATGATGGGGAAGGAGGAAAAGGAAAAAAAGAGAAGAAATTATATTTATGGTCTAGAAATTGTCTATAAAAGAAAGCTCTCTTGTAGATCGAAAGGAATGAACTTTTTTTTTTTAGGAGAGGGGATGTTTGTTTTATGGTTTTGTGTGTGTGTCAGAAAAAGGCGCGTTCTTTGTGATGTAAGAGATCGAGGCAGAGAACTAATGCGAACGTTGGCGCCATGGAACTGCCGCAAAGATTCTTTCATTGCAGTCAACCTTTCGATTCTTCTGTTGGCTTAATTGGTTGTTTTGTTGTATAACAGAGAGACAAAGTCAGTAATTCTGGGGTTTATTTGGCATCTGGCACCAAATTTGGGCAGCTGTTTTCGGATTTCTCCCTCAGTGGAAGGCCTGCTACTTTGTGGGGTTAATTACAGGATTGGTCACTGAACGTGTAAGTCATTGACAAATGATTTTTAAGCAAATTCATCACTAAAAAGTTTGGAAGAATCAAAACCACAGTCTCACACTCTGGTCATTTAGTCTATTTTGTCTAAATTGTCTAAATTGGGTTGTATTCTTAATATTGATGATTTGGCATATAGTTTGGGCTCTTCTATATAACTAATTCCTACTTTGTGTGTAGTTTTAGGACAAAGTTATGGAGTTGTATTTCTCTCTATATGTTTGTTTTATTTTTCTCTTATTACAAATAGAATTTATGCAATGTGGAAAGAGAGAATATACAACGAGTGTCCAACTTAAACTCAGGAATCACGATCTCAAAGTTATGAATTCTCTAATAGTAAGCTAGCCTGAAGCATATTTATTTATTGCTATCCTTCTTCTAACTAGTACTTGGTAGTAAATGATGCTTATGATGGAACCAATTCTTGGTAGTAAAGGGACTATTAATTTGCTTCAATACATGGGAAATCCAAGCCCTCACTTCTCCTCTTACTTCACCAATACATTTTCATGCATCATTCATCACCAATTCACCACTCCAACGGGTGATATCTTATATGTAATCCAAATAAGTGGGTGTGGGAGTCAAATGCATGCTTGTGTGTGGGGCAATGGATATGTTCTCCTTGGCTATAACCAAAAAGGATTAGATAATGTAATCCATAACGATAGAATGAACGTATTTTAGTCATTATAGAGCAGCTGACAGGGATGGTCATCAGATCTAGAAGTTTGCTTGTGTCTACCTCGCTTTGTCTGATTGATAGGGCGTACCATTTGTAGTATATCCTTGTGAGGTTGGCTCATGCATGCCTCGATTTGCTTATATCATACATGTGGTCGGAATGACTGTTTAGACGCTCAAAACTTGCTTTCATCACGTTGCTACTTGGAATGACTATTTAAACATGCATTGACTGAATCGGAAAAAAGTCTATAATCTAACTTATTATACTATGAATTCAAACTTATAAAAACAAAAGATAAATTACATGAAGTAATATAGTTCACTAATCCGAGCATTTTAATCGAGCAAAACATCATTTTTTTACACAGAGTATAAATCATTGAACATCAATACCTGTTAAACATTAATGGAGGGGGGGCTAACAAGTCATCTAGCACTCAAGCCAAATTGTAGAACATAAATGGGTAAAGGGGAAGTATAAGGGAAAATAATAATAATTGGCGTCGTTTATAATGACGGCGTGGGAATGGAAAGAAAGTAATTAAAGGGGTTGATTAACACACCCAAACAGCCAAATCCACACCAATAATGAAATCAAATTCTAAAGTTATATGTTTTATTAAAAAATTGCAGAGAGTGATTAATCATTGAGGGGTTACAACCATTATAAAAAAAAATAATCATTAGGGGTTACAAATAGCTATGTGTTGTCGTCCGACCCCATCAAGGGAACGCACTTTGGCCTTTTTAATTATCTCCATCATACCGACTCAAACCACGACCATGATCCACCGCGTCTCGTATGGGCATGGTGTTACTAACAAAGTAATTCTAATATCGACATGTGTGTTTGAGTCTTACCGCTATATGGGGAAAAAACTTTTTCGATGGCGTTATCGGTCTTTCCATTCCACTCACTCATTATACATCTTGTGCATCCACAACATTTTTTTTTTCATGAAGCATAAATTTTAAATTGAAGATTATGGTGTTTTCCAAGATGTGAATCGAGAATTCTCAAAAACTACATACAAAGGTTAGACATGTGACAACGAATAAGTAGTTACTCACTTGAAATCAAATTACAGATGCATGAATCTTATGAGAAGTTTTCAAAACCGAAAAACCGAATATATAATGTGATATAATATAACACGCTTGATCCATATATTTGACAAATCGGAAATGAAAAGAAAAACGAAAAATATATTATGAACCGTCTCTAATCAAATCAAGAGAACCACTCAATGAAAGTGACTCAATTATCCATCCCTACACACTATACATACCATTTGATGCTGATACATGAGAGCAATAAATAACAAGGCCATGGGCAACCACCCTATAACTTTCTTCCTAGCTACAAAATAAGTACAATCAATATCCTTCCTTTTCTGTGGCTTTGTCAAGTTTGGGCCTGCCTACTTATTGCAATCGTGATGTTCTTGGTAGGGTGTCAAAATCATCATATCATACACAAACTTGTTACACATAACAAGTATAGAGCTAGCTTAAGCAAAATCTAGCTTAACTAAGATATAGATATATGTACATCATTCACCCATTCATGTTTCTTGCCATACTTATAAAACTAAAGGATAGGAATGTTGCCATACATTTATGTGCAAAAGCATGCATGGCACCTACCCACAAGAAAGGAAGTTGAGCTACTTTGCATAGTGAAACACACTTCCAACTTGCAATTTAAGAAAGAAAGAATGAATGAAAGAATGAAAGCTAGAAGGCCAAAGGTAATCACTTGAAGTGGAGATCGAGGTTGCTTCTTTTATTGATGCAATGATCAATTTGTCCATATTTCAAGCTTTACCCTAACAAGTTAGCTCTCTCAAAGAATGGGTATGTATCCTGGACCCAATAACATATGCATTTGAAGTTTGTTAGAACGTTTTTCAGTTTACAAAAGACGTTGACATCATCGAATTTAACCACTCTTAAAAAGACAAGAATCTTGATTTCATTTGAGTTTATAACCATTAATTAACCAAAACTATTAACTCAGAAGGATGAACCAAAAAAATCATCCATATCTAACCTTGAATGGACCACCGGTACTGACTGGTTTGCCTTTTTTCTTCGAGATTAAGGTTTTAGGTTGTTGTTGAGGCCCAACACCCACATTTCGATGGCCCGCAACCCTACTATCGAGCAAAACGTCCATTTTTAGCAAATATGCAGAATTGGGCCTCTTGGGCCACTTCCCTACATAGTCGGTAATTACGTCTCTTTCAAAGTCAAAAGCAGATTAGAGACGAGTATAAATTCAGAATGGCCTCAAAGGAACACAAACGTTATAACATGACATTATAGTTTAATCAAAGTTTCGAGAGATATTACATGGGAGAATTTGGTAGAAGAAGAGTTTTTATCGTTATATATGTGGCTTTGGTTTAATATGTGGGTTTAGCTCTCCCAACTCATCATCATGATCAAAACTGAATTTGCGAACTCGTTAGTATATTATTTATACATACATTGATAAACGATATAATTAGTTAAAAGTCTACCAAAACTTTCTTTCAAACTAAAAATATACTAATATGTAATATCATCAGAGGAGGACGCACAAATCCTCCCGCTCCGACACAAGAATCACTTTTGACTATCACAAGACTCTTTAAGGCAAAGAGCTACAATTTGCATCTTCCTCAACCTGCCAACCTCCATCTCCTAAGTTGTAACCCTACCCACTAAACGGCAAACAATACAAAGACAAAGCCATACACCAAGGGCTCGAAGAGCTCATCATCATCATGCATGGCCCAAATGGAGACATCAAACGTGGACAATGTTCTTCCAAGGTACGTAGCTATGGAGTCCTACACCAACAGAGACCAGAGAGAGAGACGAGAGAGCGCGCCAACTGACGTGATATCAAAGGGGACCATATGGTTGATAAACATCAGTAGGGACGATGAACACACATGTCTACCGGATTTGAATATTGATGTTATATAAGTGTGTTAATATTCATTATATGTTGGATCTAAGTACGACATGTTATTTTGGTGCAATATTATATAGTATCTCATTTCTCTTTCGATGTCTACCTCCTTTTACCAACCATGGTGGTTCTTCTTTTGACAGACTAACACTTCTTCATTTATTATAGTTAGATGAGAGCCATTATTAACTTGAAAGGCACATCGTCGCAAAAGTTTGGCTTAGATTTTCTTCTTCTTTCCTTTCAAGTTTCAAATCTTGCGTGAAGCGATCCATCTTTTTCAAACACTCCCCCATTCGTGGCTGGAGCTCTCTAGCAATCAACAATTTCTCTACGATCATAATAAATGAGATACATTGTCTTCCTATCAAAACCCTAAAATCTAGGAAAAGAAACTGCATGGCAAGGGCCAAGGGATGACAATTTGAACCTATTTTGTCGGATACTATCCTATCTGACCAGCATTTTGATTTAGAACGAGTATGCATATTGAGGTACATGGCAATCAAAATGTTCAAGTTCCACTTTACTAAGTGAGAGGCTTACCAGTGGACCAATATCTTATCTCTACTTATTTGAGACATGTAACTTGATAATATAGCAAAAAAATTTGAAAATATCTTGAAACCAAACATAAAGGCATGCTCAAACTCTGAATCTGAATTATTTGTCGGAGTAGTTCGAAATATGGACCAAACACCCAGTAAAATTATGAGCGGATAATGTGGACATCCACTGCCATGGCTTTGCTTCTTGGTTTCATTGTTCACCTCATCTAACATACTCTCTATGTTAATAAATCTAACTCGAAATGATCCAATTAATTTAGACCATGAATAAATGTGAGATTAGGTTAAGTTCGAGTCTCGTAAACTCCTAGCCCAGTCTCCCTTGCATGCCCTCTTTCCCTCCATATAATCTTCATCTTAAATAATGATAAAAAGGTAATTTTTTTTTTATTTCTGAGTGATATCAATGGAAAATAATAGTTAAGCTTACAATTCTACCCAGGACCCCTAAAAGATTCTAAAGAAGCCACCCCCAAGAAATCAAAAGATTCTAGCTCTACTAGAGACAAAACCAGTGCTTTATGCGCCACTCTATGGGCAGCACTGTTGGCGGTTCTAGGTACCGCCCTAAACTCTATACAAATAGACAAAGAGCTAAGGATCTGAAGACACTCTCGTAACACCGGACCACCAATCGAATCTTCTGAAACGCCTTAACGGATTTGGTTGGCAACCACTTCGGAATCACCTTCGACTATCACGTGGGTCAAGGGAAGACGAATTGATTTGAAATCTGAAGTCTGAATCGTCTTCTCCTGACCTTCATTTATACGCAGTAATGGCAAACGGCTAACTTTTTATTGTAAATAAACACTTCCCTCCCTTTTCCAACCCACCCAACCACTAGAGTTAGAAAAAAGAGAGGTTAAGATGAATTGAATAAGGTGAATTGAATAAGGGCAAGCATCCAGCTTTGGTATAGATCACAACAGGATATCAGCAAATGAATTCACAAAGTACCTCTCTTTCTCTCCATCTAACTCAGTCTTTGCTATCTTAAACCACGATCAATATAATCCCATCTAACTAATTATGAATCTATGTGGCGTATTTCTAAAATAATTGTTTATGACAATTTGACTTGATCAGTTTCGAGCATATATGATTCAACGAACAAAGCGAGACATTAGTCTCTCTCTCGTATAGCAACATCTCTTGTCACTCTTCTTTTTACCCAAGTTCTATTAAACAATATAATACTCGTATCTCTCCTATTTTAAATCATTCCAACACAGTTATAATCACACAGTGAGTTCAACTCTCAAATAATCTATTATATCACTCTATTTTCGATTTGAGATGTCCCGCCCTATTATTATTCAGAAGAATACGTGTTATTGTTGAAAGTTATAGCATTATTGAGTGTGCTATATTTATAAAAAAACACTACTAATACATGCATAAACACTAATTTGGAATTGAACCAACTCACTTTTTGAAAAGAAAAATGTACATACTTCGAATGATAACCGTTTATGTGACATTTTCTTAAAATGCGTAAATATATATAATAAAATGTTGTAGAAAAAATATTATATCTTAATCGTATGATATTCAAGACCTGAAACACCCTTCCTTCTAAGGCCGATCTAGGGTTGACTGGACCTAGCATAACAATTCGATAAGGTAAATCATAGAGAGATAAACTATAATCTTCCACTATGCTTTGGTTGTACTAATCTCAATGGGGTCGTTTGGATAGAGGAATGTAGTGAGTGATTTGTGAGAGATTTTAATAAAATCTCTCATTATGCAGGATTTTAAAACAATCTTGCGTTTGGGAAGATGGGAGATTGTTGACATTAGAAATTTCGAAATCTCTCAAACGCAGGTTTTTAAAATAGCTGATGGGGATCAGCTATTTCTAAATCCCACACTCATATATTATTTCTTCCATTTATATCCCTTATAATTTAATTAAAACCATCCTTACCCTCCTTTGTCACCAACTGAACTGATCTCCCTTTTCTTCTGTCCATCGTCGTTCAGCCTGCTTCCTTTTCAACAGACGCTCATAGATCCGAAACTAATCGCCGACGACCAGATCCAGTTCAGAGCCACAAGCACCAGCTCCAGTCAGATCGAATCAAACATAGACGTTTTCCCAGCGTCTGGCTCCACACTGGTGTTCGTCGTCGGCTCTCGATCTGGCACCGAGTGGAGTTTTTCGCCTGGCGTTACGTTCCCTCTGCCGTCTAATGAATCCGGCGATGAAGGAGCTAAGATTTGGTCATGACTCATGCGTGGTGGTGGCGGCGGGGATTTGATGGTCCATTTATGCGTGAATCAAATTTATGGGGTTATGGGTTCTTGATGATGTCCAATTCTTAGGCATTCTGGGCATTTTGGGTTCCGGGAAAGGGATTGAGGAGGAAGACGAGGAGAAGCTTCCAGATTCCCCTCTCCGTCGCGTGGTGGAGACAACAAAAGACAACCGATCGGAGTTCTGATCTGGTTTTGGCGTCGATAATTTTTTTGGAACGAAGATGAAGGAAGAAGGGGCATAACTGTATTTTGCATTTTCTCCTTAAAAACCCAGGTTTATAAACAAACAAGTAATTTATTAAAATTCCTCATATTAAAAACCTAGGTTTTTAAATTGTGGGATTGTGGTTAAAAACCCAGGTTTTAGAAAACCTGCATCCAAACGACCCCAATGTCTCTTCTAAAATTCTTTTTCCCTATTACTACTCAAATCTAGGCACACACTACTCCACAATCTTTCCAATGACAAGAAACGAGAAAGAATCCAAGGAATTACACGAAGGTGGCTAAAAGGGAAAGTCCAAATCCAAACCAGAAAAGGACTTCTGAAAGTGATGATAACCCATATGCCTAAACATCTGGAGTGAAATTTGAATGAACCACCTTGTTCTGCTTCCCGGCAAGCCAGAGCAAAGTCCTCCTAGCAAAAGATGGCGTCTTTCCATCTCCCAATTCCCGTCCACTACTGCCGCAGCTCTGTTCACCGGAAAATCCCAATTCGCTGCTGACCGGAAACCTGAAAGAAACTGCTGTCCTCCTCGAACTCAATTCCCCTGTTTCCGAAATCCCCTGTTTTCCTTCACCCTTCTTGCCTCCTCTCGTCCAAATCTTCGAAATCGAGGAGCTTTCTCTACCCCCGTTCCCCGCCGGTACAATGCTCGCGTTCCCTTCACCGAATTGGCCGAACTCCCTCGCCGATTCGCACCCGCAGACCGACATTGCAGGCCGACCTGTTGCAGGGTTCCTCTTCTTGCCCGCGGCCGCCGGCGAAAACCTTATCGGAGCTTGCAGTGAAGAGCTCTCGTCCATCACGTACTGAAACGATCCCATCGAATAGCATCTCCTCACAGTATCATCGCCACTACCGCTTCCGCTGGCTTCCACGTTTCTGAATTTCCCCAGTTTGACCCTGAGGACCCGGTCGTGACCCGACCCAGATCCGGTTTCCGCCTCCGGCGGCGGAATTTCGACCCGACAGGAGCCCGATTCTTTGTCCCCTTGGCAACCCACCAACGAACAAGCGCTGCCGATGGAATTAGTCCTTCCGAGGGTGTTACTGTTTTCGATTTCTCGCGAGCTTCTCTCGCTGCCGGATTCGAGGACCAGAACGATCGGAGAACAGGGGATGAGGGGGTTGTTGCTTCCGTTCCCGCCGCCGTGGTTAGCGGCGGAGAAGTCGGCGACGAGGGAGGATCGGCAGAGAGGGCAGGTGGAGTGGGACAGCAGCCACGTGTCGATGCACTCCATGTGGAATGCGTGGCTGCACTTCGGGAGTAGCCGGAGCTTGTCGGCGGCGGCGAACTCACACAAGCAGACGGCGCAATCGAAAGGTGCCGACTTTTCGTCGTCGGGGGGTCCGCCGACGATGGAGTCGTAGAGGAAGATCGGGAGCGTGTCGATGAAGGACTGGTCGACGCCGGCGTCGTGGAGGTGGAACAGCTGCTGCAATTGGCCCTGCAGCGCCGTGACGCTGTCCAGCTCGTAGTCCCGGTCGCCGCCTCGGCCGGCGACGGATCCGGGTCGGATCATGAACCGGACCAGGAGGTGGAGGAGGCCGGAGATGAAAAAGATGATGGCGAGGATTATGATGATTAGTAGAATGCTCGGACTGACCTTGTTCTCCAGGTTGAACACGCCGCCGCCGGCGAGTGTCGGCGGGGGCGGCGGTTGTGGGAATTGGGTAGTGGAAAGAATGGAGCTTTCTTTGTTTTGGAAGGAAACCCAGTCCATGGTTTAAGGGTACAAAGCCTTGGGGAAGGAGTGAATCAAAGCTTTGTTGGTAGAAGATGAGATTGAAAATAGCAGAGGAAGTCAGTCATAAAGGTTGAAGCTTTTTAGTGAGAATCTAAGTGTGATGTGGGAAAGGGAATCAGAATCCCATTTCTCAAATCATGGATTTGGGTGTAAAGCTATGGAAAGGGGACTGAAGTTTTGGTAGATGGGATGCTGTAGAAGAAGAAGGAAGTGATGCAAAGGTTGAAGGTTTACTAAACTAATATTAGAGAGTGAAGAGAAGGCCAAGAATGGCAGGAGTTAATGTGGAGGTGTCATGTGGGTTTGTGGGGGGTGAGAATTTGGGAAGTGGGAAGAGGGTAGAAAGGTAAAAAGGTTCCTGCTTTCCTATTTTTTTACTGTGATGAAGTGAAGTGGAGTAAAGGGCAGGTCAAAATGTTGGAGGGGAGAGGGAAGAGGTTGAATTGAATGAAATGAGGTAAAATAAATGGGGAGGAGGCCAGAGACAGATAGTGTGGCAGGAAGGCAGCTCAAACGTAGCAAATTCATGTGGTTAAGTGTATGAACTGCTAGATCATAGATGTGAATGCAGTTGGGATCTTTCATTGTGTTTCAAGTTTTATTACTGAATAGTCCTCGAGTCATATCGTCGTGTTTATCGAATAATCTATTCATAATGTTTCTTATATGTTTGAAATTCATTTTATAGGTCTTTGTTCGGATTTTTTGGAGAATTTTTATTTCTTAAAACTTAGAACGACTTATGCATAACAAGAACGAAAGAAGATGTGAGATTTTGGGCGTCAGAGTGAGGGGCAAGTCAGCAATTACCATTTTATGTGGCATATAAGTCATTTGAGCTGTGTTTATTAAGTTTAGACGGATCCAATTTATAACTTATTCGGTTAAAATTTCTTACGAAAAATGAATAATTAGCACAGTATAAGGACTTTTTTTGGTCGAGACTACAGAGTACAAAGAATAGAAGTACACTCACTAATTAGATTATTATATGTTTATTGTTGTTAATGAAAATGTGGGGTTTGGGTTTAGGATGGGGATATGACTTTCCAATGATGTTTACCAAGGGACCTTCTAAGGCTAAGTCCAATGGGCACCCCATTTATGAGGGAATCTGCAAAAATGAAGGAGGAGATGGTCCAATGGGGAGGTTTGGGCCTCCAAAAATGGAGGATCCTGCAAATGGAACTCCAAATTTGGGGATGGAAATGGGGGATCCCCCAAATATAGAGACTCACCAAAGCCCACAACGTGGCTTTTCTTTTTCTTTTTAAGATTTTAGGGGTTAATTGGGATTTTAATTAGGGGATTAGTTAAGAATTTAATTAGATCAATCATTTTCAAGTGTTGTGTGTAAACCCAAATTAGGTACATAATTTTGTGCCAAAAAAATTCGGACTCGGAATTTAACAAAATTCTATCAAAAAAATTGTATTTAAAAATGATGACCAACTATACAAAAATTAAGATGAATAAATTATATTAAGGCTACGATAAGTACATTTATAAGTAAATGGAAAAACTAGAAAAATGAAAATCCCCAAATATGGAGATTGAAGCATTGGAGCAAAAGATGGAAAATGGGGATCAATCCCCAAATTTGGGGATGAAGGCCCCCAAATTTGGGGGGTTGCATTGGACTTGGCCTAATGGGGAACTATTGACTTTGGAGGAAACAATATGCATCAACCCCAATGTTTTCATTTAATTGGGGACCCATACTTTCCCCCCATTTTTCTATTGTTTTGAGTTAATTGGGGATTTGTGCTTCTTTTGTTTAAGTCGATCGGATTATGTAGGACTAGTAAAGACGTGTAGGTGTCATTCATTAATAGGCCAAATGGCTAGGCTTGCCTCAAATTTGAAGCTTTTGAAATCACATTCTGTTCATTCCAACAATTCATAATATTGAAAAAAGTTTAATTATTCATATTATCATTACTTACGAGATAAAAATCCTCAATGCAACAACACTCTTAATCGGGTGAATCCAATGTTAAAAACGGCGTGTCCAAATGGGCATTTTGAGTTTGGTCCCATGGTATTTTGGTAAACATCAAAATAAGAAGCTCAAGAATTTTACTAATGACCTATCTATAGATAGATAAGCAGCCATTAATCCGATTCTAGCTGACAAGAAAACACAAGCTTTGGTTAGCAAAGCATTTATTAGCTTCAATAGTCCCATTTCGAATTATTATAGGTTGAAAAATATTAACACGTTATAAAAAGATAGTTGTAACTGTATGCTTGATAACCTCGTGTGGTTGGTTGGTCTACGAATAATGTGAAGATGATCACATTCTTAACACAGTAAATTTGAACCTTACCGTCAACCATACTTATCTATACAAAAAATAAACTAGATAGATGGGTGAATTATAGCTAGGTATGCTTAATTGTCAACAATTTACATGTGCATGGCTTTATCAAGGAATAGTGGCCATCAAGATCCCAAAGCGCATGCATGCTTTTGAACTAGTAGGTTAAAGAACTTGTTAATTAGGTCAATGCAATCCCTAAGCTAGCTACTCTATGTTGACATTTTTGTCAATATTAGGGTAAAGGATAGAAAGTTCTATGCTCTTGTAACCATCATCCACCTCTAGGCTAGAAATTAAAGGAGCTTGGGGTACGGTAGCTAGGATTAGCGATTGATATGTATGAAATCAACAACACAGAGCTCGATGTAGTGATCAATAAAAGCCTTGCTTTGGCTTTTGGTCTTCTAATTGAGGCTACAATATATATGTTTCCACACCCAAACTCAGAAAGTCAACGTTATTACCAAAACCCTAAAGAAAACTAGGGCAGAAATTCCACTAATCCGCGTAAAGGAAAGAAAGAAAAAGAAGCACATTGCGATAATTATGATTAATTTCATTAATGACCAGAATTTGGTCTTCTTCAGTTAACGATACTGCCACCAAAACTATCACAACAAAAATCCTCACCATTTTAGCAAAACACAACACAATTACTTCGATTATAAATGAGACTTCACAAATCAGCTCAATCGAACACAATTTGTTTTTGATTCAACGAGTAATTACTCCACTCCTCTTTCACTCCTCTTTCTATAGAGGGTTCTAATGAAAACCGAGCTTAGCATTCTGGTATAGGGATCGGATCGAAGTCATTATAAACAATAATGATTTTAGACATTGAAACCGGTTAAGTAATCAAATCTTGGTATTCTTTTAATCCCCAAGCATGGCACACAACAACTCATACGACCTTTCTCCCTTAGGAAAAAAGAACAATAAACAATTTGGTAAGCCACTTCATGATAAATTGGACACATATATGTAGACAAAAGTTCCTCTATAAACATGTCTTTGCCAATTATCATCGATCGCTATCATGATTTCAAAGAAAGAGTGTTCCAAAACAAACACACCCATACTTTCTATATGTGGAGAGGGAGAGGTCCCAAAGTATGTCAATGTGACACCACACCACTAGCAAAAAAGTTTATCAACTTGTTCTCATTTGGCCTTTCCCTATGGAAAAGAGAAAAGTCGGAAACCAAATGAAATATCAAACGTTTTGTTTTGTTGGTCGATGATGGTGATAGATCTTAGAAGAGGTTTTCGGTTTCTTATAGATTTCCTGACTTAAAATCAAAATCTTTAAGTAATAAAGTGATTTGGAATTGACAATTCGTAAAAAGTTAATTTCTTATTGCTCCAATGTCTATTTAAATATGAAGACCTAACCGAATTGACACCCTAAGTTACATGGGGAAGTCAATGGTGCCCAAATCATGAACGAGTGGAAAAGCGAGAAAAGAAAAGAAGAGAGTTTACCAACAAAAGCAATGTGTCAATCGGCACCATATATCTCAAGTCTTTCCTTATTGTTTCCTTTTCAGATTAAAAGGTAACCCTACTTCACTATAGTTAGGTTGACTTCGAATTCTTCTTGTAGCATTAGCATAAACCTAAGAATTTCTCAACCATTAGTTTCCTAAGGAATAATTCCCCATTTTATGACAGGGAAAATAAGAAGGAAACGACATAAAAGAAATTCAACAAAATCTCAAGAATATATAAGTTATTTGTTGTTATCGGACATTCTCACAACGAGTAATGAGTAATATTTGGAAATTTTCATTGTATACTTTTGTAAGCGGGATGATGGTTGGGGGAAGAGGCTCAATATTTTAAACTTATGGTGAAAACCTAATAATGAATATTATGCATAAGTTTGAAGTTTGCATAGCACTGTACTTACACCTCGTGCTTAAATAAGCCACTGACTGAGGGTAATTAGGATTGAAATGCATAACATCTTGAGGAAGGACTTTGATACCATATTGAAAATAAGCTCATTCCAATAATTTGAATAGTCGAATTATAACGAGAAATGTATAAGGTAGACAATGGGATAGAGACACAAATGAGACTAAGGTCAATGAACATATTGAACCTTGGTATTCATCCAACTAACCTACAAAAATCAAACTTTGAATCAAGTTTAATCCCACAAATAACAACCGACCGACTTCCTCTCTAGGTCCCATACGTGGCTTTAGTGTCAAAGGTTAGTAGTTAACCCTCACCAATTGGAGAAATTTCGCAATTGCAAAGGTTTGAAAACTACTTGCCTTGTGATCCCATTGAATAGTGTAACCAAAACAATCCATTAATCAAATCCAAAATAAGTAACAGAGTACAAGCATAGTGTAGTGAGAGCTAAACCTAACCAATTAATATGACCCCTACAATTAATTAAGAAAGAAATTGGAGAAACATTACATTCAATTTGATATGATCTATTCCAAATGCCGGTTTGATCCAGAACAGTACGATATGGACCAAATCGTTGCACACCCCAACTCACCGATAACACTACTTGAGAGAAAGAAGACATGGAGCAAGTAGGCTTTTGTCCGTTGTCTTTGCCTACCCTTTGGGTAGAGACTTCATACAATCTCTTTGGTTATAGATGGGCTTTTCGTGGTTTGAGAGGGGACCTCGAGCTCCATAATCAGGCACCGATCTCTTTCTAGTACTTGGGCTAGTTGGATTGGGTGGGTTTTGAATAGAAGGAATTGGAAACGAAGACCAAAAAGAAAGGCCACATTACAAAATGGTTAACGTAGAGCAAAGAAACACGTAACTTGACATCTTTGAAGTTTTAGCAATCCTTGTTTTATGGAGTCATTAATTGATGAATGTCAAGTTGTCAACGTTGTGTATTCGTTTGCCCTAATAACTTCATAATTACAATTCCGTTTGTGTTTGTATTTGTGGTAGTTTACTATTTGATCCCCTTATGATTCGAGGATAGCGAACAAGCCCCGTATAAAACTTTTCGACATCCAAATCCTCGTATAAGAATCAATTAACAGACTATTTGTTGTCCAAAATTTTGCTCTCTTACATGATGTGCGAGACCAAATTTGCCAATGATAATCTGTAGTTGAGTTGGGATTCCTTTCTTGACCTCCTTTAATCGTCACCATGAGTAGCGTGATTTGATTTGAGGCGACCTATTGAAAGTATCTTAAATAGCTCCGCCTCAATATGCCATGGAAATGGAGTGTTGGTAACTACTGATGGCAATTTGAACTCGCCCATATGGGTATTGCCGGACCTGACCCGCACTGGAGTGGGTGATACTCGATCCGCAGTAGCGTGAGACGGGACATGGGTACTACTTCCGACTTGTCCACCCCGGCGCGCCCCGCCTTACCTCGATCTGTCACAATATTTCTCCCATTCTGACATATCCTAACTCATATTTTCATCCATTGATTCTTTAGATACGTGTAAGAATTTATCTTTCAACAAATTGGGCTCTATTAGTGTACCTATTATCTCTAATTTCTATTTACGAACTAATTTTCTTTTGTTATATAAAAAAATAAATATTTTCTTTAAAAAATAAATGAAAATAAATCAACCTGCTCGATCTCTATTCGCATGAGTATTATCCGACTTGACTGTGGTCCGGCCCCACACCATTACCTTCACTACCGGTAACTTGAAAGGTATTCAATTCATACGTCAAAATTTGCATAATACAAGGTCCTGAAAGTTCAAAACTTTCTAAAACCTGAGTTCATTTGTAAATTCTCACATGGCGACAAAGTTTTAGCAACATGATCACAGCCTGCAATCATCATCACCTCTCATTTTCCTCTTCTTTCTGGCAAGCACTCGTTTTCTCTGTTGATGTAGCCATAGGTCTCCCAATAAATATTCCTTTTGTTATAACCTCGGAGAAGGTAACCCAATCCATTCCGATCAATAAAGAAATGGAGACGGAGAGAAAACTGCCGCCGAACATCAACAACCTGCCGGAAGATTGCCTGGCGGAAGTCCTGTCCCACACCGGGCCCGTGGAGTCGTGCAGGCTGGCCACCGTCTCGCCGGCGTTCAACTCTGCCTCCCAATCCTCCGCCGTCTGGAACAAGTTTCTTCCGCCGGATTACCGCCGTATCCTCACCCGCTCTTCCTCTGACGCCGCCGCCGCCGGCCGTGATTCCCTTTCGAAGAAGCAGCTCTTCTTCGCCCTCTGCCAGCACCCTGTCCTGATCGACAACGGCAGCAAGGTATGTAAATTCCTCATTCAGACGTTTCATCGAACTGTGGGAATTTCAATTTAACGCCGCGAAAATCGATTGGGGGGAAAATGGCAGAGTTTCTCGCTGGACAAACGGACGGGGAAGAAGTGCTTCATGCTGTCGGCGAGAGAGCTCCGAATCGTTTGGGGCGACACTCCGCTCTACTGGCGGTGGAATTCCGATCACCCCAATTCCAGGTTTCTCTCTGCTTCCTCCTCTGTTTTTCTTTTCCCCTGTTTCCCCTGAAATTTGTTTGCTCAATTGTGTCACTCAATTTCGCTAATTCGATCGTCCCCAATATATAAAATCTCGAATTGAATCATTTGGGTAGTTAAAGTTCTCATCTTTATGCAGATTCGGTGAAGTGGCCGAGCTGCTGGACGTTTGCTGGTTCGAGATAAGGGGCAAGATCGAGACCCAAATGCTATCTCCGTCGACCCAATACGCGGCGTACCTAGTGTTCAAGTACTTCCCGGAGAGGAATTCCGGCGGAGGGTTCCACCGGCAGGGTTTCACGGCGACGGTGGGAGCGACGGGGAGCGAGGAGGTGAGCAAAAGGACGGTGGGGTTGGAGATAGGAACAGGGGATCGGAGGAGGCATTTTGGGAGGCCGAAGGGAAAGGAGGAGCTGCCTAATGAGAGAAGAGATGGATGGATTGAAGCAGAGCTTGGAGAGTTCTTTGTGGGGGATGAAGGGGAAGAAGAAGAAGTGGAGATGAGATTGAAGGAGGTAGTGGCTGGTCCAAAATCAGGGATGGTGGTTCTTGGCATGGAAATCAGGCCCAAGCATTAGCGCCACTACGGTACTCTTTTAAGTTCTAATATTGAAACTATATGTTCATATGTAAATTTGATTTTGGCTCTTAAACATTTGGTGTCTCTTTGTAAATCGTGATAAAGGTTTTTCTCTTCTTATTTCGATTGATGTTTCTGGCTCCCAAGCTCTATTTGTATAAAAATTATTAGATGATTTCGAATCAAAATCTGAAAAAATGATCTTATATTCTTATTGGTACAGTGATGATATCAAAATGTTGGTTCATGTCATTTGGGATTATCCATTTGTATACTTTGTCTAGTAGATAGAGTTTATGTAAGAATGATATTTTATTTTATTAATTTACATAATTAAATGTTCCCAAACTAAAATGACAGGTTATGATAATCATAAATCACACTAAATATATCAGATTGGACCAAACCAAACTGAAATTATGAGGAACCTAGTTCCAAAACATAAGTCCAAAGGATGTGCATTGGGTGAGTCGAGCGGTTTTTCCCACAACTAAGCGGGAAGACTTAATCTTAACCTACACACTCACCCAAATTTAAGTGTTGGGTGGATTTGATGCGAGTTACTGATGAGTTGGGTGGATGAAGGCGGTTTTGATAAATTTGAATACAAGTATTAATAACCAAACATGAATCCTTAACTAAACATCCATTTGATTGAGCAAACAAAAGAAGTTTGGGAAAAACTTTTAACAAATCGTATACTGAGTTTAATTGAAAAGTAGTAATGAGAGGAAATTGGAATTGGAATGGAAAACAAAGACTAATTAGGATATGCATCGCATGAATTTTGAGAGAAATCATTGGCGGCAGACAATTAGAATCAAACGATCAAATTTTGGAAAGAAGTACAAAAGAGATTATGGAAAGATCAGTTTGGAGGAGAGTTTTAGAGATTTAGTGTCGATTATGGGTGGGTAATGAGTTTGGCAGGTAAAACCCACACTCACCCCTATTTTGATGAGTTAGACAGAAAGCAACCTACATCCGCTCACAATACTCACAGATATTATAGTGAGTTTGATGGAGAACCCACCCAATATCCATCCCTACCATTTCCATTTGTTCTACCACTTGACCCTTTTAGAACTTTTTTTTCCCACAAACACATTTGCCAAGTTGTATATAATCCCTAGTAGTGTGACAGCTCACTTGACAAGACAAAAGTTTGGAAAGTTCCCCAAATATCAAGTCCATTGGTGCAGTGAACTCCAAACATGATCTCATTTATCCCCTTTGCCTCCTGCAATTGGCCCCAAGTTGTCCTACAATTGGGGGGCCTCACTCACTGAACCCATAGCCACATTCTCTGAACATGTCCATCATCACCCTGTACCCTTTCTCCTTCCACATTCCTTCAAAACGAAACTCTTACTCCAACCCACACAATTCGACTATAATGCTCACAAGTCAAATTGTAAAAACGTACTTACAGAAATGCCGATTTATCTGATCTCGCGTTAGCGCTTCAGAGTAGATGAGATGATAGTATTTCCCCCCAAAAGAGTATAGTATTCTGCTTGTGGTATTGCCACGACCTACATGGATGAACAATCGTACAAGGCTCTGACATGAAGTTAAGAGTTATGTCTATGCATTTCCAGCTCCATGCAAATCTGACAGGCCAATCAACATCCAATCCTTGAACCCTGGCAGGATCAATTTCCTACCCATTATTCTTTCTCTGGCTTCCCTTTTTTTCTCAAAAGCCAGCTAGCCCAAGCCATGCCATGGCCATTCCTCTGCTTTTAATGACTATCCAGCAATCAGCTCCATAAACTGCCAAAAGAACTCCCTCCTTTTTGGAGCTAGCTAGCTAAGCCAGCTTTCTTAGGTAGTTTGGTTTTGGTGTATTTTGGAGGGTGAATTCTGAAATCGTATTTAATTAACAAAAATATGTTTTCTAGGTTGATATTTGGATGTAATTGAGTGTATTTAATAGCAAAACTAATCTAAAATATAATAGTATTGTGCAATCTCAGACACAACACGTATAATATAACTGAATTAATACACTAAAGAAGTGATTCCAAATTTCTTTTCACGATTTGAGTTACAATTTTTTTTATATAGATGTACCATGTATGAACCAACTAATGTTTCATATAGTACATTTCCCATACTAGCACTGTCATATCCAAATATGCAATTGATACAAACCACATTGAGAATATATGATGCATATAATTTTCATATTGTGCTGTCAAGAAGGAATTCTACTAATTGAATTTTAATTTTGCATAGTTCTATCATACATTATCCTCATACCAAAAAACTAATTTTGAGGATTGTTGAAATTCGAACATGCGAATCTCTCAACGAACTCAATTATCATGTCAAAAATTAAAATCCCCCATTTCCATTTGCATGTATAAATTCTGTCTTATTCTGAAACTTAATTTCTGCAAAATTCTGCAGAGTTTCCACATCAAGACAAAAACTTACACTTCCCTTCCAATCCTTAAGAAAGGGAGGGAACAACCTTTGCTCCCCATATCTCTCCCATCCCTCATGGTCAGAGACTCTCTGTAATCTTGTCCCAACTGATGGATTCCCAATCCTTAAAAGACTATAAAATAAGCCTCTTCCCGGCCAGAACGAGAAACATCCAACACACTCTAAATTCAAGTTTACGCAATACTCCTCTTTAGTCATGAAGGGAAGCAAGATGACCAAGAACAAGGCCGCGGAAAGGAAGAAGGAGAAGGCGATTGAGGACATTTCGATCCCTCGAAACATCCAAACTTTGCAGCAGATGATTCCAGGATGCGAGGAAGAGACTGAGGTCGAATCCCTGTTTGAGAAATCCATTGATCACATTCTGAAACTGAAGTCTAGAGTTCAGCTCCTCAGGGATATGTTGAAGCAATGTGGTAAGTAATGCCTTCCATGGCGGCATTTGCTAAGCAGCGGGGTAGTTCATGTGGATCCTCTAAGGAAGGAGGTAGCTTGTTCATGGTAATTTGAAGAAAAAAGTTGTGTAATTTTGACCTTTTCCTTTTTTCTTCAATTGATGTTGCTTTTCAATAAGTTCCTAGCCTACTCTTGAAAGGGTAGTCTGGTTCAAAGTAGTTTGTACCTATTTTAATAATTACAAAATGATCGAGGATAAACTAGTTCTTGACAATATCGTTTGCACAATGTGACTAATAGTAGATTAAAAAATTTCATTATGATTAAAGAGAATATTATGTTCTTAACCCTTTGGAGAAAGGTATATGAATCATAGTTATAAAACCTAAAGGGGTACATAGGAAAAATAAGAGCAAAAAGTGGGCAAATCTTCATTAATCCAACTAGATTATGTAGCTCTTAATTAGTTTTTGTGGAATTGGAGCTCATAGTTGTTATAGGAATTAGAAGAAAGATTATGATCGTGATACGATGAGATAACATGTGTCTGTCTCTTGTGCACCCTGATCTGGATCTTTGTACAACTCGGCATGAATATCCAACACAATATCTGAAACAAAAGGCAATTGGGTTGAGATATTTTCTTGTCAAAGATGATGGTTGGAAATGTGAAAAATGTGAAGAAAAGACTTACTTTCTCTTGTGGTTCGAAACAGATTCAACTTTCTCATTCTTAGGACAACTTTGGATTGGTTGTCAAGGATGATCGAAATCCACCTCACCCTAAAATCTCCTGTTTGAAACAATCAATTTAATTAGTACCAATCATAGACTACATGTCTAAGAATAAGAAAGGGGCATAAGTTTACCATCTGGTGTTTCCACATGAAGCTCTGAGCCAGAGGCAAGGATTGATCTGTGCTTGTCGAAATCGAAATCGAAGTCGAGATCAAGATGATGATGATGATGATCATGATCATGGCTGTCTTCAATAGGAAGAACTGGAGCACTGCCATTGAATGTGTTCTTGCATTCTGTTCTTGCTTTTAGTGTAGCTGCTCCTTTCAGTGCTACAGTTTTCAACCAAACAAAGTTCTAATTAGGACAGTCTCATAACAGGAATAAGAAGAGAAAACAAAAGGAAAGGAAAGAGATCTGCATTACATGTAGTGGCAGCAGCTGTAAGAGTGAGGATATCACTTGAACCAGTACCACTCATGGCTGACCCAAGAACACTGCTGAGATCTTCCTTCTTAGCTCCCATGGATTGCGCGAATTTCGCGCATTGTGCAGCCACCAAGGCTGCAGCATTAGCCATTGCTTCTTCCTCCCTCGGATCGATCTTCTCCTTTGATTTGCCAGCAGCAGCAATTGCAGCCAGAGCAGCTGCCAGCCCTGCCACTGATATGGCTGCATGAAAAATAGTTAATGTTAATTTTCTTTGAAAAATTGTTTGTAAAAGTGAGAGAATGATAAGATTTAGGGTCTAAGATATAATTATAGTATTTGAGAGATATGAATAATTGTAAGTATTGAAGCGAGTCAGTCTAGAACATAATCATCACACCTAATCAAATAGGTTATGTGCAGATACTTAGAATAACAAAATTGCATCAAACCCATTATCCTCCTAGTCGGATTCAGAGAAAATCCACCAAAAAATGATATCAATTAAATTCCCTCAATAAAATCGATTAGAATTCGATTGGATAATCACTATTATTAGTTATTTTACAAATCTCTAATCAATATGTCTCTTTTGTTTCTCTTCATTTTGGGTTGGACCATATATTGGGGTCAATTGTTAATTTGTCAGGACTTAAAAGAGTTCACATTGGAATCTTGGGCCATTCAAGCCCATCTCTCTGTATACTGTTTTTGTGCCAAGAATTAAACTAGGATTGTCACCAACAATACCACAAAGCCACACATGACTACGTACGACCCATCTAGTTTCAGAAACAAAAGAGAGCCCAAATTTTGTGGCTCTATATGTTTGGTCTTTATCTCAAATTCTTTCCATGCGCCGTATAACATCCAAACTACACGAAACCTCATTTCTCTTCGAACAGAATTCCTTGCTAGCTTCACGCTATGGACAACTTCCCAGTTCCTATTCGAGGAGAGAAAATGGCCTGGAAACCTAGCTAGCATATTGGGGAACATGAGATTGGAGTTTCGCTATATATTGTAGACAACTTCCAAATAAACGGAAGATAACATAAACAGAAACATTCAATCCTTTACTGTTGTTATGACTTATGAGCTAGCTAGCTAGGGTGGACGATTCGGCTTGAGTTAGTACACAAAACTCGCGTTTCGGTTTGTTGAGGATTCGGTTGATGGGTTTGGTTAGTTATAATTATTAGAGTGTGTTAAGGGTTTCACAAACATAAATGTGTTGGGTCTGTCTGTACATGCAATAATATTTTGATATACTTTCATATGAGAAATAATTTTGTTCGAACGATGATCCCTCATTCTTACGATGAAATCACCCTCTCATCATCCAAATGACCGATGATCGTACAAACAATCTAATCCTATGCAAGAGACGATCAGAAAGGATCAAAAATATCAATTCGAAGTACCATCCATTGAGGGGGTGTGGGTTCATGCTATCAAGCTCATGTATACGTTTCTATACATACATAGGAATCGACAAGACACATTCATATTCATTGGAATAGCTAGCCTAGCCACATGAAAAAAGGGATCGTGCCATTACGTGCAATTTAACATGATAGATTGATTATCCCCCTTTCCTTGTTTCTTACGTACCTCCTCTCTCTCTTGTCACCATCACATGATATAAATCCATGTAACCCATGTTAGGAAATAGGAGAGGGGAGCCCTCTCTCTCTCTCTCTCTGATCATGTAGACATATTTTGGTGGGGTGAGACGGTTTTCTTCGTTTTTTTGCGAGTTTCTGTTACAGAGGAAACATTAGAAATATACAATTAAGTAAATATAACATTTCATTGTTCTATCTTATGTCACGACTACGACTACAACCACCACCATGAAACATGCCATTTTTCGACCTCCATTATGTACTTCAATAATGTATATTGGCCAGCTTAGCTATAGGAGATGTTGTCTAAATGGGTTATCTGATTTTGAAATACTCCTAACATTTTTTTCCCTCCTTATAATAATTTGAATACACATGGTAGACACATGCATGAATCCTTTATCGAGTGATAAGAACATGCTCCCATATCATTAGCCATAATTAATCTTTGTTATGCAAGACATTGAGTTAGCATTTATCCTTAATAATGTGCATACAATAAAGGACAAGTTTTATCCTAGTCAAGTTGGGATTCGGTAAATTATTGGATATAATTATATACCCCTGATTATGTTAAATGATAAGTCACGGTTCAAAATCTATCACATCACATCCAACACGTACCCTACGATTACTAATGAGAACATCGATTGAACATAGTGAACGGTCATATTTCCATGTTGTGTTACTTGTAGAAAAATAATCATATATATATATCATACCTAGTAAGAAAAACCGAATGTTTTTTTCAGATGACCTTTCTGTGGAAGACTACAGAGAATATCAATATACGAAATCACACATAATTTACCAAGATATATGTTTTTGTCTCAGGCCGAGTATTTTCAAAAAAAAATAATAATCAATGTAATCAAATAATCATCGACATATATAGTCTATACAACATTTTCACACAACATGATTCGAACACAAAACCTACATTAAAACATCTCCAACCTCTCAAACACCCAAATACAAATCTTTGACATTTATATATATGCTTCATCTGTAGACTGTACATACCCTTAATTAAGGTACATAATATATATGGCTTCCATCCCATTTCTCATATACCATCACTCCAAAACGATGACTATATATATAGCTACATAACTACATATATAATATATATCTATAACAATAATATATATATAACAACACATATATGAAATCAAATTAGAAATTAGTTCACTTCATTCCATTACACATGGCGACTCGATCGCTAGCTCTAGCAAGCCTCCGCATGACGTCGATCTGAGCCCGGAGCGACGTCACGTAGTCTAGGGTTTCCCTTATCAACGACGCCTCGTCGCCCATCAACTCCCCACCGGGAACCAGCTTCCTCAGCACCGCCGTCTTCCTCCTCACCACCGCCGCCGCCGGCCCATGATGAATGCACCTCCGGCTCCTCCTTATGATCCTCTTGCACCGGAGTACTCTCTTCTTGCTGTGACGTGGCGGCGGCGTCTGGTTGTGGAGGGAGGAGGAGGAGGAGTGTTTGGCGATGAGGGCACGGCTCCAACACGTGGCGCCGTTCCTGGCGGCGGCCATGGCGATTTCGGCGGAGAGCTTGATCGTGTTTTTCCTCTCTACGACGCCGTTCTTGTTGTTGTTGTTGTGGTGGTTATTACATAGTTGGAGGGCGAGGAGCCATTTCTTGAGGAATTCCCGCTTGAATGTTGTTGAGTTTGTAGGAGGACGCATCCTTTTGGGAAGATGAATGCAAATGCTTTCTCTATATCTATCATATGCAAAAATATAAAGAAGGTAATTAGCAAATTTAGTTATAGAGGGAATGATAATAAAGGTGGAAAAAGTTTCATCGACCCAATAACCAAGAACCAAAATCGGAAAATGGGTTGGTTTCAGTTTCAAACTTTAAAGGATATACCACGTGGAAAAATTAGTAATGTAAATCATACAAAATCCTCCAACTAAATCGACAGCTGGGGTTTGAGCGAATCGAGTTATTTGGATGAACTGTATCGCCACAAGAGAACATAATTAACTTTTAAAACTAGGATATCGATTCGAGTTGGAGAAACCATTAATGAACCGGAGTAAATGGGGAGAAATTGAAAGTGTTGTTTCTCTTGGGAGTGTTGTGCATATCATTTATGTCATCATTAATCAATGGTGGTAATACAAAGATTTCTCACATGAAGAAGGAAGAGATGTGAGGAAAAATTGAGTAACACAACACATGAATAATGATACTATCTAACTAGGGTTTGGAATGACATTCATCAACACATACAAGGAGCTAAATTGAGCATTTCATTTACCCATGTATGATATAAGGAGCTCTCACCTGGTGATGATACTCTTGGTGAAGGTTGGAAGCTAAGAAGCTCTACTTGTCGAATCGATGACTGAAAGGAAGAAATCACGACCAAGGAGAGACTATTGAATCCTCCTCTTGTTCTTTGTTCTAATATGGTAGAAGAACTGAGCTCTGATGCTTCTTCTTCTGCAGATCCAAGAAACGTAGAGAGATAGAGAGGGAGAGAATGGAATGTGGGAGAAAGGAAGGAAATGAGGAAAAGGGAGGCAGAGGATTTATTTGGGAAGGAAAGGAGGTGGGGAGCCACGGGGGGAAGAAGAAGAAAGAAAGAGAGATCGCACATGCATGCACATGGGAGAACATGTCCCACCATTGCGATATAATAAGCTAGGCATATAGTACCATTTTTTTACCACCAATTTACCACACTATACCTATTCTGAAACCCCCTCACCGGCCGGCCATGAAATCAAAACGGACAGCCCAATGATTCCAAGCCAATTGAGATGGAGAGAGAGAGAATGAGTTTTTCAGTATACAATATGCTATCAGGTACGGATGCAAAACAACACTCTAATGTTAATGTACTATAACAATGTCTTGAACGATGTTTGTTGTTTGCTTTTATTGATGTATCGGGCGAGCCAGCTCACACATTCCAAGCTGGTGGTTAGATAGTTTCGAGTCGAGACGTATGTGTTTCAACCTGCTAGCTAGAAGCGAAGGTGATTCGACCAATATAGTGGAGGCGACTAAAAAAATGTGACAAGAAAGTGAGATATGATGAGGAGCACGACTTTCGATGATATATGCTTAATTATAGCACCATATGGCAGGTCGACTACGTCCTTACACGACCGTCAGTGATGGAGCTACGTACGTGCATTTCAGGAAGGGCTACATCCCCCTCAAAATTTGATATATAATGTTATACTGTATGTATTCATATATCTCGAGAAAACATTAGAAAATAGCAGGGTAATCCCTCTTCCCCATTCGAAACTTAGATTCAACAACGGAAATATGTTATTTTGTTGTTTTTAACCCCTCCTCACTCTAAATCTTGACTTCGCCATTAACGGTTGACATTGGCTTTCGAGTGGTCTGGGACCCACCCACAGACCACGTTGTGTCGATCTCCTAGCTAACACCCACAATTAACCATGCATGAATTAAAGAGCGCCACAATTATAGCATTAACAATAATAATATCACCCCTGGCATATGGCACTATGCATTCATTAGGCTTGCTAAAAGTTGAGAGCCTCTCATGCATGCCACATTCAGCCAGCTCTCAGTGGACGTTGATTTTGTGACAGAGAAAATGAGAGAGAGAGAGAGAGAGTTAAGATCCTTAAAGCATTTGCCGGCACCTAATTAATAACGGCATAATTAATTAATTTACTAATAACAAATTAGGGAACACAAATAAACAGCAAACATTGCCAACTTATCACATGCACATCAAACCCAAAATTTCTTTCGGCTTTTAATTACTTCCATCTTACTCTCTAATCACGGGGGATCTTTTAGCATGTCCGGGGATTGTTCGACATCCCAACCTTGGTGTCTTCCCCCAACATATAATTCAATTCCAAAAGGGAGCATACTAGTCAACCTTTGATTGGGTTATGGCTTTATAAAATAATAATTAATCAATCTAGTAATGTCTATATACACCCATCCTTATGTATGTAATCCATAGGTAGTGGCAGGCAAGGCAAGGCAACGATTTGGTTCATAATAATGGATGGAACATAATCTAATTATATTCGATTTCATGAATTCTCTTAAATGACAGAAGAAAGTGGACTTAATTGATATTTTGATTCGAATAAAGGATTGTTTGCTTGTTGGATTTGAAAGAGTACATTGTTTGTGTAGTTGGATTTTTTTTTATCATGGATTTATAGCTTTTCACACCAATTATTTTCATCCCTCAACCAAATCCCAAATAAAAAAAAATGTGATTTACAAATCCATGAGTCTCACTAATTTGGAATTTTTTTTTTTACTCAACAAATAAGGCAATTGCCCAAATTCATCATGTTAATTTGAAGTTTGGGTGGCAAACCTCAAATTCATGACACAAATCCAACAAGCAAACAACCCGTAAATGAGACGGCATGCACTTTTTGGTTGTTGATTTTGGTCCTCATTTCTCCCTTAATTTTGTTTGATTCAGTTTAATTTTGTATCCAATCGAACCAATTAAGTCCATCCATACCCCTAAGATAAATTGAAAAATTATCAACCTTTGACTGGATTATGGCACATATATAAAATCCAATTGTTCAAGATTAATAGAGTATAAATCCGTGGCGTGGATTTGATGATGGGACGTGTCATCACGCCAAAAGTGAATTATGGGTTGATTGATGATTTTGATTAATGCATAATAACACCTTTCTTTGTGGGAAACAACATTGCTTACATAGTAATTATGAAGAATTAAGACGTCTTGGCCTATGCAAACCACTAGTTAATGGGATTAACTTAAATTTAACGGGAAGATAAAGATTAAGCCTAAAATATGGAAGCTCGACAAGGGCATTTGTCCTATATACTTAAAGTACATGAAGACCGGCTAGCTCCCCCGCGATTCCCGGCTGTCCTTTCAATCGGAAGACCTAGTGAGAAAGAGAGTTTCATCACTTGAGTAATTACACTATGAACTTAAAGTGTGGTTTATGCTATCCTCGTTATATTAGGCATTAGATCAATTCATCGAAGTTACTAGTGATGATTTTCTGCATTAACTACTAATTTAGTATCTAAGTCGGAGGTGTGCATGATCTGATATAGTCTGAATATAGACTTAATCATGTTTGGAGGAGGAAAAAAAAAAGGAACATATGAGTATTGTTGTAGGTTTACTAGATCGTGTCGAGGATTCAACGAAATTAAAACAAATAAATTGATACAAAATTCGAGAATCAAAACCAAATCAAATTTTACATAAATTAGTATTGGTTTAATACATTTGTATAGCCATAACTTTCGCGGTTTTGACAATAATAGCCACTTTTTGAAAAATACACTAGAATAGCCATGCTTTTGAAACTAGGTTGACAACTTTAGCAATTTCTGTTACAAAGTTTAACGACGTTAGAAATGCCGTCAGTTAAATGGATGTTAATCTGATGTGGATGCCACCTAGACGACACATCAGCTCCAACTAGACTCGTTATGCCACGTAGATGCCACCTCTTATTTTGAAAAAAATATAATAAACTCCAAATAATTTCAAAAAATGAAGTATTATTTCAATAATTTTCTATTTCTATTTTTCTTTAATCCTTCCTTCTCGACGGGAGTCCCGACGACCTCGGCGTCGGCGGTGGCTGGACCCAATTCTGCAATTGCAAGCACAAAATCGACTGACAAAATTAGCTCTTTTAATTGTCTCTCATCTCCAACAAAGCGAACACCATATCAAGAACCTTCCTTACCTTGCCTAGATTAGCTTGTCCAATGACGAGAAAAATCCAAATGCCAAAATCCACCTCTGACGATAAGAATGCCCACTGAACTCATCACCAATAAATCCACCTCCGACGACTAATTCAACCCACTTCAAACAGCATAGAAACCCTACAATTTCGAATCTCACATTCTATCATGCAAGAAAGCAAAAATTGAAAAAGTACCGATTTTGACGCAGATTCGATAAGGGGTAGCGGCGGGTCGGAGGTCTACGACGATCTCATCAATTTCTCCGGTGAGCTCTGGAGTTCTCGGTGAAGGAGATTGGAAAAGGCGGTGCCAGATTTTGAGCATTGGCGGTGGTTGGGGTTTCACAATCGACGCTGCGGAGTGGCTCTCGTTCTCTCTGATCTGTTTCACTCTGAGCCGAATGACGAACAGAGGAGAATGGTGGATGAAGCGGCAATGACGATTGGACGGCTCAAGTGCACCAAGTGGGATCCCCGTCGGCCGTCATCGTCTCCTTTGTCGAACGCGGCGTCGGCGACCTTACCGGCAACTCATCGCTCGAGTTAGTCGCGGACTGTCCGAGGAATCAGGTGCTGGTCACTCTCGGACTCTTCCTTCCCTTCTTCCTTCTTTTCCCACTAGGGTTTCTGGGATTCAAATTAATTTGGGAGTTCAGATCTGAAGGAGGAAGAAGGAGGGGGATTTGGATTTTCTAATGAAACTTTGAGTGGGCAGCGGGACAAAGGATTGGAAAAAGGAAGACAATGCTTGATCCCGCTCCTTCTCGTTCTTCGAGTTACCCAATGATGCCGGCGGAGAGGAACTTTCAATCCCGCTGCTACTCGTGCAAAGGAAACCCAAATTCTTCTTCAACCTCGTCTACTGAGCAAGTAAGCAGGTCTGGATCGATGATTGCTTGGCATCCACATGAAAATTGGGATTAAACAGAGAAATCAGAGGGAGGATGAAGGAAAAGAGGTGGAGGGAATGGTGGCGGAGCTTGGGTATGGAGATGGCGGTGCGAAGCTTCGTGAAAAGGGGGAAGATGATGAGTCTTTATTTTTTTTATTTTTATTTATTTATTGTTTTCTAATTAATTGTAATATAAAGGATATTTTCACGTGGCAAAGCTTTTGAGAAAAATTTGCCACCTCATAAAAAATCGTTAGTCCAGTCAGCGCCTATCTTAATGCCGTTAAAGTTATGGACGGAATGGCTATTCTAGTGTATTTTTCAAAAAGTGGCTATTATTGTCAAAACCGCGATAATTATGGCTATACAAGTGTATTAAACCATTAGTATTTTGACTCAAAACCACCCTTAAGTTTAGATAGACCACTACCTTTGAAGGGTGTGATTCTCCGAGAATCAGAAATTTCTCTCGACTATGTCGAATTGTTGAATGAACAGTATCATCCTGAATGCGAGCTGAAGAGGCGAGAGTTTTTCCTCACAGAAAAGTCATCGAGCCCACGCCCCTTCATCACCCATGCTGGAAATTAAAGCCCAATAATTTGTCATTTACTCATCGATCCATTGGCCGACTATCTATCGACCTACGTACATTAGTCGGTTACAGAAAAAGGTCTTATTGAACCTGGAGTTTTCATATTCGAATCTCTTAAATAACTGGTCTAGTGGTATATTGCCACTGATCTTGAGGCTAGAGGTCTCATGTCCGAATCACCTAAGTAGCCTCTAGTTATAGAAACAACCTATATCACGTACTCTTTAACAAAGTGTCTTACTAAATCAACCAAGGCACTAATACTACTAATGAATGGTGAAGTATTGTTGTTGACTTTGAATTGATCAATTAGCTGGAATAGCTCAGTTGGCTAGAGCGTGTGGCTGTTAACCACAAGGTCGGAGGTTCAAGCCCTCCTTCTAGCGCAAATTTTTTTCCCCTCTCCCTCCCAACCATTCATGGTGATCTCTCTCCCTCTAGTTTTCATCCTCATGATTTAGGGACCAGGTCTCAAACCCTTCAACAACAAACGAGTTCAGTTTCTAGTTTCTCTCGATGGGTAAGGAAATGTACCATTAACCTTCTTAGTGGAGGAGTGGCTACTAAACCAGGAGAGCACATGGCCTTCCTCCAAGCTGAGGTTTCTAGCTAGTTGAGGATGCATGTTGCTATACACCAATCAATATAATACACTATAGAGTGATGTGATGAAATTGATGCACACACATGGGCAAGTTACTATTAACGTGTATGAAGGAAGGGAGAGGCGCAGAGGGAGGGAATTAGAGGACAAAGGGCGGCTATAGTATAGAAGACATCGTCCACGCACGCCCACAACAGGCAAACACTCGCATGTGCACACATGGGGAACGATATTGGATGGAGGGGGCAACCCCACACACTCTCTCTCACTGCCCTTAACTATAAGGGCATACAACCCTTACATGTTATACTCAATCTAGCTAGCCTCTCATTGAGCCGTAACGTGATAGTGATGAAAACATCCGTCGTATCGTTGATTTGCCACATACTCATGTGGTGTGATGGTATGTACATATTGATTATTTGGATCAATTGTAACTCTACCTTTCGGTTCATTGCGATAAGTTTACATACATCACTGTTGAGGCGTCACCCTACCAATCATAAACTGATAATGTTTGAGTTAACGAGTCTTATACTTTCCGTTACGTTGTTGTTTTGTGTCACTTGTTTTTTCTCAATCATATACTCAGATAGCTGTAAATAAGCATTCATGTACTAATTATGTGAAATGATATGAAACCTGTTAGATTTCGATCTGTATGACCTCTGAACGGTACAAAGTATACACAAACGGCGTACCGATCTTCTTCACAGTGGTGGCTGGTAGGTAGTAACCTAAACCTTGAAAACAGTTTGTTCAAGGAGCTAGGGAGATTTATGTACCTTATGATGACCAATTTTGGAAAAAGTTAAAGGATCAAACACAAGTTTTCTAACCTAAACCCTACCTTAGTCAAACGTATACGTTATGGAAGGTTCGTTCGATCAAATCAAAAGACTTTACAGCTTCGACTGCACCAGGAGATGTGTGCTGGAAATGGAATATGATATTCATATAATTCCATTTCCATCCCCTCTCCTTAAATCATGGATGGATTTCATGTTGGTGGCTCTCTCTCTCTCTCTCTCTCTCTCTCTCTCTCTCTCTCTCTCTCTCTCTCTCTCTCTACCATGTTACTCTCTCTCGCTCCCTCTTCATGAAAATGTACGGCTTTCTTGGCCCTCTTTTTCTTGGATCGTCCAACAAAGTCCAACCCGTCAATGACTTGTGTAATCATATTACAAGTTAACTTACTATCTACTAAACAAAGGTTGTCAATTTCCTTTCCAACCCACACGACAAAGACAAAGTACTTCTTTAGTTTTGATTTCACAATGGTTAAGTAATTAAGCTTATCGATCTATCAAGTTTGCTTAATACTCAAGTTGTTGGGACATATTTAAAAATGAAACGTTATATATACCATTCATCAAATGTCGGTTTGACATTATGTCAAAAAAACAAAATTGACCACATAACTCTTTAGGAGAGAACCCCAGTAGCTTATCATATATAATTTCCTCTTTGCGATTTCGCTATCCATGTTGGTTCTAGTCCAAACAATCGATGCTAGCCACTTTCAGTTTGATTTCGATCAGTTTAGCGTACATGAGCTATAGATAGTTCGAGCGATGGAAAGCTTTTGCATTATGGCCACATGAACGCTAGGTATAAGCCTAAAAACCAAAAGGTTCATCATTCTCCAACGAACCACATGGTAATTAGTCACCACCATTCCGCAACATGAATGCACCGAGTTCATCACGGTATTGCTATACATAGGATCGAGTAACCGTTCAAGCATCCATTGATATCCATCCCTAAGAAAAGGGTGTCAACGAATAAGTGGATACTGGTGTCGCCATGTGCTCTCTCTCTCTCTCTCTCTCTCTCTCTCTAGAGTCTTAACCGCAGGGAAGAGAGTGGGGACAACAATTAAGATACAGGGTTGTTCCTCCAATTTGGTACGTACGTGGACCTCTCAACACACACAAACATGGGTAGAGAAGAGAAGACGACGCCCACTCTCTCCTTAGCTAGCTAGCTACTAAAATATGCACATATATATAGCTCGGCCAACGGTACTAGTAGCTACAAGTGCAAACTCAATCATGTTCGCTTGAAATTCTGTCGATGATGAGGTCCACATCGATCGACTAAGAACATGGGCAGAAAAGTTTGCCATTCCATGGGTACGGCACATGTTGCCATATGGTCTTTCATCAATTGCCCTTTGATCTTCGATTCTCTCTTCCTTGTGCTTATGCATGTCAATCATGATCAACCGGTCCAATCACACATACCCATGGTGGAAAAAGGTTTCAAGAACCCGACTTTACCGCGTCTTTGACAATAAATCATTTGGTCCCAACAAACTCCACTCGTACGTGTCTTTAGACAAAGATCGTTTCTCAAACTCGAAATCTGCACAGAACCATCATTCTTCGTGTTTAAATCAGCTGTTGGTATTGTAAGATCATGAAAATTTAAACACACGATCACTTGATGACCAGCCAGGTGTGACACCATGTCATAAACCGTTTTGGTTCCGATAACTCCAATTGTTCGAAGAGGATTAATTATGAATCTTATACATCTCATTTGCATCCAAACGCGGAAGTGCATAGCAACGAGGTTGGTCCCAACAACACCACTTGTTGGGAGAAGGGTACTTATAGATCTTGTACATCTCTTTTATATCCAAACGAAAATTTAGTGTGACAAGGTTCAAAATAACGATAAGGTTGAAAATCACTTACTCATCTACAAAATAATCTTCGAATTACTATAAGAGTTAGAAGTTACATAACTTGAAACACATGCATAACCTCTCCTATCAATAACTCGAGTAGCTGAAGATAAAAGACTATCATTTGGTGCCATGAGTATGATATACCATATATATGATGAGCTAATTGATGGTTTAACCGACATAATTGAGCATGCAAATGGCAGTGCCAATAAAGAATATGGCAATAGGAACCCACTTTGACTTCGATAAGAAACTGCCAAAGTAGACACTACAGAAGATTGTCAACTTCACACCTAACTTGAATTGTTTGCATCGATCGCATCCATGTTGAGCATATTATTGGACACAGCCACGCTGGTTTTGGATATCATATCTCTTATTCTTAATGCCACCGCCTAAACCTTCTTGACCATAAGCAATTTTTGTGATAGATTAGTGCACTCTTAGTGCATTTAACTTTCAGAATAAACTCTTAGAGTGTGTCAATACAAAGTCAAAACTATAGCAACCACAAGACACCACCCACATTGAAGTGATCTAAAAGTTACAAGAATGTGAATAACAACTTCATCACATGAACACACATTTCCTACATCTCATGGTGACATTTGATACATACATACATACATTGGTCGACTGTGGTTGTCAATGATCAGCAATAACCGTCTTCAATCTCATGTTATGGAGACTCTTTCCTGTAACTACAAGGATTACCAAAAAAGAAGCCGGATCCACTAGCCATGACAACGAATCTATCCTTGGTAAATCAAGTTCGATTGCTAATGTTGCAACAGAAGTCTTCTTCCTGCTCCACTGTTACATTTGATTTCTCCACAGTAGTGAAGTGGCTGTCCCTTCCTCGTCACTTTCTTGGTCATCAACATCTCCATGGTCAACTTCTTGCTTCGCCGAACATACCCTGTAAAAAAGGGAGAACGACATGTTGTAATCTTTGGTGTAGCTTTCAGAAAGACAATGACTGATTTATCGAACCTGTCAAACTCCTGGCAGCGTTTCTTTCTGAAAGTACAGGGCAGATTGCAAAGGATAAAAAACAGAGCGACTCTGTTTTACTATTAGAGTTTTGGGTCTACAACCCCTACTCCCTACCAAGTGCTGACCGAGGTTCAAGAAGGCGCTTGGCAGGCATTGGGGTCCTACGGCCTAGGAGGCGCCTACGCGTTTTAGCAATCATAAGAATTTTACATATACCGATTGTGAAGAGTAATAAACAAGGTTGGGTCAATCGAAGTTGGATACTAATGGGAGAGGAACTGAAGTAGTAGATATGGCGACAGTGGTCTTGATTGTTTAGCGGTCGATGGTGGCAAATGATAGAACAGAGGGTGAGGTTGATCAAAGTTGAAAACGAGAACACTGCTAACTACTAACTATAAGTTCAACTAAATTGGAGCAAGAATTTTAAACAATAAATTCACATAAACTCCTACCGACATCTAAAATTTATTATTCCTCAATATTGTGTCAGTTTGTCAAGTCAGTTCTAGTTTGAATTAAATGATTATCAATTGTAAAACTATAACATCGGTGGAATTGAATCGACTTCTAATGATGTATATGCCAAACATAACAACTTGTAAGTTCTCAATAAGCAAGACTTTGCTGCATATCAAGTGAAAATGTTTGTGATGAGACTATGAAAGTCCCTTGGCTTATAAATAAATTATTGAACAATAATCACTCAAGATTTTTGTATGTTGGGAAAGAAAATAAGACAAAGATAGAACGAATTTACCCTTTCATTAATGAAATTGAGAAGAGGGATACAATACACCTTACACAACAATTGACTTTTCCCTAAGATCTATAAATGTAAAGAACAAAAAAGAGAAAGACTGTTGTTCTTCTTGCTTTTCTTTCACTTATAACAACTTCTTCTTCTTTCCTTTTGCCCTATCTCTAATCCTTACAATTTTTTTATCGGATACAGCCAAAAGCTACAACATTAGGATACAAACTATAAATAGATTGAGGACAATAAACAACAATTGCAGTGTAAACAGACATCAAAGCCATCCATCTCAGAGCATTGTTTCCTACTTTTGTTTGAGTTTGTTGATGTTGGAGACAGGCTTCAAGCCATGCTTCATTGCAGCATTCCACACCAGATCAATCCTGTCAACATCTATTGCTCCCACTTCATGGTGAGTCCATCCCTCCAAGAAGTGCACCACGCCTCCAGCGTGGCACGCGTGGACAACTCCTCGATCCATCGTGTACTGAAACCAGTCGAACAGAAAACGTTAATCGAAGCTTGTTACAACATGAACTTTGATTCATAGAAGGGAAGAAATGATTCAGAAATGTCATCTTGAGGTTAAGGTTTTTTGTGTGGATGATTTATACCTCACAACTCCAAAGCCCTTCAACATCATCAGGCAATCTCATGGCAGCAAGGTCTCCATAGGTGCAATCCTTCCTGAAGGCCAAAATTGGTGGCACCACAAACTGGTGGAAATGGGCTCCTGGTGGCGCCCAACTCTGCTCCCTTAATGTTATCCACTTCCCAACTATCCAAGTCTAAAATATACACCAGCAACAGTAAGAGAACAAGAAGGTTAAGAACTTTCCACCACACAAAATGGAGGCATCAATCAATAACCAAGGTGATACTGATACCAAAATATTCACCTTGCAATGTCTAGCAGCCTGGTACTTGGTAACTTGCACCAAGTTACTCTGGCAATCAACAGGAGCTTCCTTCTGAATCTTCTGAAACCTCTCTGTTGAGAGAGTCAACATCTGGGGAAAGAAACATCATGTTCAGCACAAACATTCATGCCATCAAACCGGCCAATAAATGTTTTAACATCCAAGGGGGGAGAAAGCAGAAAGGAAAACTTACAAGGACTCGGACTTTTCTTCTGCAAAGGTAGAGTGCAATGGCTCTTCCAAGCTTGGAAGTGGCTCCTGTTAGGAACACTTCTTCAATTTCTTCACCAATCTCGTTCAGGATAACTGCTGCTGTCAATGTGTTCCCATGGACAACTCTAACTTTGAGGTCCGGATGCTTGTTCACAAACAATGTTCCACCTCCATTCAGTGCTTCATTCTGCAACCAAAGAGTAACACATTTCAGGACATTGATAAAATGGTTAATAAACAGACTTCCATGACCCTGATCAGAAATTCACATTTGGTATCTACTGCTGTGATAATATTCATTCCTTCACAAGAAAGACACAGTTCTGGAAAATGAGCATTTACTTCCAAGTTCCAACCTGTTCAGGATAGAGGTTCACTTTCATTTTACCTTTATTTACCAATACCCAACTTTCTTCATTTACTCCAATTCTACTAAAAAGCTTAAAGTTTCAATCTTTTTCAACTTTTCAAACGACCCAAACAAAGAAACAGAAGGAACTGTGGCAGGTCTAACGTTCCTGCCAAACTAGAGATCTCAGGTTAGGTTCGACAGTCTATAACCATAGTCATAGATTTGTGCCGCCTGCTAAGTTGATAGCCTGATGACAAGTAAGGTACCAGCTAAGCAGATTGAAAAAGTCTGTATATGGGATCGTGGCAGACAGCCAGAGCCCAGAAGTAAGAAGCTGCAGAAGAGCTGAATGAATAAATAGGCTTGCTTGGTATGGGGTGAAATGACACTTTACCCATACGGGTCTTTTCTACTTCAATTGATTGTCTGTGTCCTTCCTTTAATCGATCTGAACTCTGTAATGGCAAGCCATATTGCCACCGTCCCTGCTGTGCACATTAATGCTTTGCAGTGCCAAACTGGCAATGGCCCTAAGGCACCTATTTTGCAGAGAAATGCTTATCTTATCTTCATGAAAGACAACAGTTAACAAATTGCTAGAATATGTCATGTGTCTTAACATATCCACTTTGTAGCTGACACATCTAGCTAAGTTGGATCATGATTATGTATTTCACTCTTCAGGTCTTCAACTAATCTTGTCTAATTCCACTTCCATGTCAGAAGACTCTATTATGAATCACACAGCCAATTGGTAACTCTATTACTTTCACTGAGATAGGTCTCTTTGTTTCCTATATCAGCATAAACAAACAACTTGTATTTGCAAGATAACTACAGCCACTCTATGGGACAATATCCACATAGGAGAAACCAGAAAAGTTAATGGGACCCCACCCCAATGTTGTGCAGTAATAATGGCAGAACATGGATTGATATGCACGGCATTTACTCCTTCAACTACCATGGTCACCAGATTCACAGATCAAAGATGGGTTTTCGACTCAGCAATTGAAGGTGGTAGCACACGGTTTCAGCACCTTATGGTAGTCTAAATTTGATCATTTCAATGACTCAGCCACCTGGCCAACAATCAGGCTGGTTAGGCTCCTGGGTCTTTGATTTGACCAGTTCAACCAGCCAACTCGAGCCGGGTTTGACAAGCCTGGTTCGATTTCATAAACCATATGAAGATAGATAAATAAACTCAACCCACCTTGTTCAATGCAGCAAGACTCAGAACCTTGACTCCAAGTCCATCAGCTTTGAGAATAGCCTCATCGATCCGCTTGTTGATTCCTTCCTTAGCAAATGGCAAGAAATACTGCAACAATGTTTTCCCCCCCTTTTACTTAGTATCATCAACATATCATTCTCATTCCTCCATTAAGCCCCAAAAGTTTTAACATTTACCTGGAAACCAAACCTGGGCACAACCCATGTCTCATGGAGCTTGCCCCTTAGATTGTAGAAAGAAAAGCCAAATGTCTTTGCTTTAGCCCACATCGCAAGCATCACCCCGAATGTTATAGGCCAGAAAGGGATCAAGAAGGCTTGAAATCGGTATGGCAGCGATGCAAACGTCCGGAAAACAAAGGGGGCATGCATTGCAGAACACACATCCACAACATGTGCCAAGAACACGAAATCAGGAACTCTCCCATACGTCCCTGTAAACCCAAAATCACATAGTTAGAGAACACTCATTCATGAACCTCCACCAAGTAAAGATCTAGGGCCTGCTTAAGCTACACAGTTGAAAACTATGGTCCCCCAAAAGGGCAGAGGGAAAGGTTTTTTGCAGAACCAAGTGGCCTGAGAATAGCTGTACCCAGAAATCTGAAAGGTGCATTTATTTGCACCCACTACTTGGAAGCCCCAAATTGACAAGCAATCTTTAGAAAAGGGAAGGAAAATCAAAACAAAGTTACCTGCTTTTGAACGCATTTTCTCGTGTAGCTCCCATGACTTGCTGTTGAGGGTCTTTCCAATTGCATCGAAGATTGGCATGAACAGGCAGAAATTGGTCTCCATCTCAGTATGATGCATGCTATGGTACCTGAAATCAAAGAAGAAAACAAACAATGTCACAAAAAGAACACAAAATTTAGGCAAAAAGGACTTCAAACTAAAAGAAGTATATATGATGTATCTATATTTAGCCAAAAGGGACCGTGTGGAATTCAATTTGGGGGATTTTTCCTCACAAAGGGTGATAGTAATGAGGGATTTTTTACTTGCAACCCAGAAGAATGCTTAAATTAAAGCCAAAACAAGATAAGACAGAGAGATTTGTACAATACTTACGTTCCTGTGTAAATGAGGTATTTGAGGAAAGGCAGGGTCTGGAAAAGTTGGTGAGGCACTATCTCAGTGTTGGAATATCCCATACATCTCAGGAAATCAAAGGCCAAAAGATAGCCAGCAATTGTAAGCAACGATCCATAACCCAGGAGGAAAGACCCAAGAATTGGGATCCCAGTTACAGAAGTTAGCACCAGATGCTCCAGAAATGTAAGTTGGTAGCCTGTCAAAAGAAGAGTGGAAGAGAGATCAAAACTTGATCACACATTCATTGGTCTTGCTTGGTTTTCTTCTTCTCAAGCTGTATTTTTTTTTTTTTTTTGTTACCTGTGTATGGATGCAGCACTGGAGAAGAGTGGTTGATTGAGTGGTAATTGGTGAACCAGGAGCCTGTGTGGAAGAGTCTATGAACACAGTAGTAAACCGGCTCTGAGATTCCAACATGAAGAACCAGAATCCACAACAACCCTTTTGTGTTCCAGATAGGAAGTGATCCCATTGACGACATAGAACATGCCAAGAACCCAATCAGAGATTGGAAGACCAGAAAATTATCCCTGAGAAACAAAAAGCAAAAAGGTATTCACAATCATGAGATGATCCTTCGTTCGAATCCCTACTGCCAGCAATTGAGGAGAACACAGCTACTTACCAATCCCACTCACTGTCCACCTGCTTGAATCCATAGCCTTGCTTGTCGATCCTGATGCTCTTGGAGAGGAACATCATGTTGACAAAAGTGCTCCAATACAGATTCACAAGATACCTGATGTACCAAAGTACAAGCAAGCAAAAGCACCAATCCAGCTTCAAGCTGCCCTCTTGGTATGTGGAATACAGGACATTTCCCACTATTGGGCCGTACAGTATATACTTCACACAGACAAAACAGCAAACAGTTGGAGGACATTCAGAGTACAACACACAAAAATTTAACAATTGGAACAAAACCCACATCAGCTAAACCCCAATTGGATCAAATGAACAAAAAGTTCGAAACTTTGTTCAGTACCTTGTACAACCCAAGTCTCTCCCATGGCCAAGTGGACAACAAGCCAGCAGCCATATCAAAAGAACTCGAAAACAGAGGCTTTACACCTTTTTTTTTTCTTAACTCTGCTTTCTCTGTGCCTTCAACACTTGCCGTCAGCTTTTCCCAAGGTACACAAACTTGAAAACGTGGCGGACTGTGATCAGCAAGTTTCCAAATTTGGCCGACAAGACAACCAAAGGGAGAAAAAGATTCTAGCTTGTTTCTGCAAAGTCCCAAAATGCGAGCAAATGGGTGGAAGAGAGAGACACAAAGACGCGAAGAAGAAGCAACGGAGAGATGGGGGGAAGGAAAGGTTAAAGCTTTGTGACTTGAATTGTGAGGATTGCATGCTACTCAATTGCCCTCTTTATATAGCTCTTTGCTGAAGATTATACAGCCTCATTGAGAGTTAATATTGGAGGAGAAAGAAAACACAAAACAAAACTATGGTTGGTAAATCCATGAGACAACTAGATCGATAGATGTTTCTGAGAGATGGGACGGTCATGGTGGAACCCGAAATCCGAATGAGATAGCTAAAAAGAATTATAAACTCAACAGATTTTAATTATGGTGATTGAAGAAGATGGCGCTAAACCCTTACCGATTATTCCATTTCTTAAATTTATTATATAAATCTACATATAATTTTACTTACATTCGAAAGTTGAGAGGGTTATTTCCGTCGTGTGTTTCATCTCGTTCTATAAGTGGTAAATGTAGCTCATTTACCATTCTCAAGTTAACTTCTTCTTCTTCATCGTCCTCTCTTTGGTCACAGCTGTAAGGGATTGTAAAACTCCACTAGACATTTATTGAGCAGAATATGGTTGGGGAGGTAGTGGTATGGAAAATGAACTATGGACCTATTCTCACCGTTGGGGGATATGGGTTCCTTGCCCCCCCAAAATGGAAATTTATTGCAAATCAAGTCCCCTCTATTGTCGGCTGCATTAATATATAGGGCAAAATACTACATGATAGGGAAAAGATAAAGATGGATGTTACGCAGCTCGATTGATAAGTAGTTCAAATCATATCGTTGTAATTGTGAAAATCTATGAATGTAAATAATAAGATAGATTAATCGTAATGTCGATTTGATAAGTTTTATAGACCGTTTTGAGTAGCATGTCAAATATATGTTGTAAGTTTCTCATACCAAATAAAAGAAAAAAAGAATATAGAGTTTTTCTTGGTACTCTTCCACGCAAAATGCCATAGGCATGAATCTATTTTAATTACTTCCATCAATTTCAGCGTGTAAGTTATAACAGGCTATCATAACTTACTTAACCGCGAGGTCTCTTATTTAAGTTCCCACGACTCCCAATACTAAGAAACGATTAAAACACATGAACGGACAAGTACAAATTAACTTTAAACCCCTTAGTTGATTTTCATTTCAGCGGTACCTTATAAGGAACTAAGATAAGAGTCGTAAATAAATATTCTCAAAAGGTCGAGTTATTAGAACCGGTTAATTTATGACAAGTAGTACCCCTAATATTGTGAACGGCTATTTGCCGCCAACCAAATTGCTATTTGCCGCCAACCAAAAAAAAAAAAAAAAAAATAAAAATTGAATTCAAATTTTGAATTCTCCCCTTCCTTCCCTTCCTATAAATTTGAATACCACATAACATTACCACATAACATTACCTCATAACGAACAGGGTGGGCCGAAATTTTCCGGCGGCCGGAACCTGGCCGGGCCGAAAACTTCCGGCGGCCGGAACCTGGCCGGGCCGAAATTTTCGGCGGCCGGAACCTGGCCGGGCCGAAATTTTCGGCGGCCGGAACCTGGCCGGGCCGAAGGAAAAAGGTGGCCGGAGCCTGGCCGGGCCGAAAATATTTTTCGGCTCGGCCAGGCTCCGGCCACCTTTTTCCGTCGGCCCGGCCAGGTTCCGGCCGCCGAAAATTTTCGGCCCGGCCAGGTTCCGGCCGCCGGAAAATTTCGGCCCACCCTCTGTTCGTTAAAAATCGTCGGAAAAATTGTTCGAAACTAAAAAAAATTTGACGCACCTGCTTAGTGATGATTCATGGATGCGTGACCGCAGTTTACGTCGAGGATGGGCTTTCCCGATGGTTTTCCGGCGACTTTTCCGGCGAGCGTCGATTTTTTCTGATTCAATACGTTTTCTGAAACTTGAAAATGTTGTAGATTGTGAAAAAACTTAACCAAAGATGTACATATATACTTTCTTCTTTTTTTTTTTTTTTTTTTTTTTAGTTGGCGGCAAATAGCAAGCCCCCTAATATTAGGTCATACAATAGCAATAGCAATAGCAAGTTACTCTAAAATCAACAATAATGAAGACTATCACGCTTTTGCACACATATACATTTATCTACCGTGGGAAGCAAGCTATTTACGCGTATATATGTTATCCCACTAGCCCTATCGCCGCCCGTCGTAGTTATACAAACATACATACGGTGCAAGATGTCTTGTCTTGCATTTATAGTTGGGATTGTGTTAGCTAGATACAACGGTTTTTCATTTTGTTTTGTTTACGTGTTTGGTCTTCTCTTTTGACCAAATCATGGACACTACTACGGTATTGCATTCTATAATGGTCAGTCATGGGTTCCAATAGCTTGAAGGGTTGACCTAATTCATTGTCCACCGAATTGAGTAGTCAACGGCCAAAAAAAGAAGTAATATTCTACTAAGAAGTATCTAGCAATAGATCTTCGATCTCTTTAACATGAATATTGCCATTGCGGTTTCGGTCTACAAGAGAGTACCATCAAATCATCGAACTGAAAACCTAATTTTTGTGTTGCTGAACCAGCAGGTTTCAATAATTTTAGTTATCGGGGAAAAATACTAATATACCCCATCAAACGAAAGCCACTATACGGGTTTGAAGTTTAACAGAAAAAATGGAGTTATCGAAATTCGAAAAGAAGACCCACCATCACAAAAAAAAAAAAAAACTTGTAACTATATCAAGAACTAACTGGTGTCAATAACTCGAGTTGTAGAAAGATTTTTAATAATAAACTATATAATTTTTTACTAACGGCTTTATCAATCATCGAATTGAAAATCTAACTATTGCCAAGTCACTCTCGATCGGTCTCCATTACCAAGTAACACACATGATAAAGTGGTATACGTAATCTCCTTTGCATATGCACCGTCTAACGTGTCTTACATAGTATATATACAGCAAAAGAAGAGCTTCCTAGCTATTCCATGACCATGTGGTGTAATTATAAGTAGACATAGAGAGGAATAATGATGTAGATTTATCAGAGTTCTAATATGTACGTAATCGTTCAACTTATAAAGCGTACTATGATGTGACTATAAAATCTTACCTAATTCATCGTGTGGTGTAAGAAGATTCGAACGGTACGACCTCTTAGACACATAAGTAATCAGACAATTAGCATGTTAGTTTGTTACTGATCCAGATCATGTACGGACATGATCTGGTTGTAAGAACATCGCAATATAACACTGACATTGAGAAGATTACATGAGAAATCACCAACTCACACAAATTACATGAACTTAGGTGTATTGCCACGTGAATTTACTTTGAGAACTCATACGCGATATGAAAATAGAATCCATAAAAAAACAGTGATTGCAAAATCGTAATGTAACGATATTTCAACCAAAAAATCGCTTATCGAATCTCAAGCCAGTATATGATTTTAGCTGTATGAATAGTTAAATTGCGGTTAAACTAAAATTTCAATACAAAATATTCTATTACCGGCTTTTTTATATATAACATCAAGTAGGGTTTTACCATTTTTGGAGAAAAAAAAATATAATATCAATCAAGGCTTTTCGTGGGTGCCTAACTGCATTGATTATTAATTAGTTATTACCTTTTGCTCCCCCAATATATACACCTTTCCAAGCAAGTGGTGCCGATCGAAGGGCGTTATATATACCTATCATTCTTTTTCTTGACAAACATATTTTGACGAATTTTGATCACTGTCTATATCCTAATTATCCTTCATAAAATACAGACCACATTAAAATGTAATTATAAACCTGTCGTCTATCTACGTACAATACGGTTGCGTGATGCATGCATGGCAATATTTAGTACGCACGTAAAACCCTAATATTCAACCGTTTACTAAACCGGAACTTGTGTACTTATATATATATTGGTTCCCGCAGTAACTCGAGTGGTTGATAGATGTTCATTTATAAATTCTTAACCATTTCCTTACACGTCCTCTCAAACAAAAGTCAATTATAGGCTTTTGAAGTTTGTATATATAGGTCCGCTATACCATATGCTTTAAGACAACGGTTAATACTGTAGTCGTGAAGACTTAAAAACATAACTCCAATGTCAAACAAGTTGTGGGACCACATCACAAACGAACCGATAATCTCAATAACTCAAATTATTGAAAAATTATACCAGATTTTCAAAATATATAGATTTGTATGAATTATGTTCCTTCTCGTAAGATTAATAATTGGGAGTTGGGTGACCGGTGGAGATCGATGATGAGGTATGGGCAAAGAAAAGGGAACCACCGCCTCTCTGTTCTCGTCACTATATGTCAGCAAAGATCTAAGCAACGAAAAAAGTCCACCCCAACATTCCACGGGTCTGTCCACCCAAAAAAAACAGAGCACAAAAGCAAAATCCAGTAGCTCAACCTAACATTATAATACACATATATGTCACGGGGGAATTGAAAAGGTCTTCGATCTTTTTAGTAATGAAAATGAAGAACAATATCCCAGTTTTGGTATCAACCAACAACACCGACTAGTGCTTAATATGTGCATGTGACACTGCACACGTCTAGTTGGTCATAGATTATATTTTTATAGTTTGTCAGAGTTTGGACAATGTCAACTCAGAATTTAGTAGCACGGACAGAGTTAGCCCTCTCTAATGCTTACTTTTCATTCAGGGATGATAATTTGGACATGACCCGTTCTACGTGATTTGTTTGACCTATTCTTAGTGGATAATACCCGTCTCGTAGAAGGGGTGGGGCGGCCATGAGTGCTCTCCTGGACCAGACCCGCCCATTCTCGACCCGTTTTGACTAAATTATATGTAATTTTACTCAAATTTCTTAGGATTTTTCTTTTATTGCATCATATTTTTACTATTGTAAAGTAACAAATAGGTGGAAAAACTCAACTTCTAGAATAATTTAACTACATTTATCATGACATGCATAGTTTGTTTCTCGACTTATTAATGAAAAAGTACTTTTTAAAAAAAAAAAATACATAATCATGGGAGTCGACATGACTGGTCCGCGCCTCGAGACAAAATTCCTTATCTTCCACGAGACGGGCGTGGATATCGAAATACTCGCTC